GGAGGCGTCTGGGGTCAGTGCTACACAAAAGGAAGGTACGTGACCCAGGAAGTCAGGAAGGACACAGGAAGGAGGCGTCTGGGGTTGATGTTGCATTTAGGGAGGGGACTAAGCAAAGGGAACTCGTCCTCTGCCGTCCCACTCCCACGTGGCACAGCCCCCTGCCTCAGGAGCACGTGCTCCGGCTACTTCCTTGTATCCTGTTCCTTCCCCAGCTTATAGCAGCTCACATAGCACTGCCTGCTGCCTCAGGAGCATGAGCTCCGGTTACTTCTCCGTATCCAGCCCATCCCAGTTCACCACAACTCCGCCTAGCACAGCCCCTGCCTCAGGAGCGTGAGCTCTGGTTACTTCCTAATACCCAGTTCCTACCCCATCTTGCCACAATCCCACCCCCACTTGGCAGTAGCCAACATCAGAGAGTCCCTCACACCATTCCAACTAAACTGGCCCATACCGAGCATTCTGTCACCCACTTCCTTACCTTTGAAAAAGCTCTGGGGCTCTGGATTTTGGCTATGACATTCCTGAGTCTTTTCCTGTTGGGGTTTCTTTCATCAAAGGATCAGTGGTTTCCCTCTTCACTTTGCCTTCTGGTTCTAATAGATATGGGTAATTTTCATTTGCAATTTATTGAAAGATAGTGTGCAGGCTTTTGTTTTTCTAATCATGGTTTTCAGGGAGTTGTAATTCTTAAATTATCTACCCTTGATATGTTTTCTAGTCAGTGTTTGTGTTTTTTTTTTTTTTTTTAAATCTCAGATAGCTTACATTTTCTTCTATTTTTCAATCCTTTGGCTTTGGTCCAGTATTTCATGCTGTCTCATGGAGTCATTGATTTCTGTTTGGTATGTTTCAGTTTATATGAAGTCCATTAGCAAGTTTATCACTTTCAATTCTAAGCTACTTATTCTCTTTAGTTTCTGAATTGGGGCTTTATGCCAGGACCAGGTTCCTCACTAGGCTTTACTTTTGGGTGATGTGGTTAGCATTGTTTGGTCTTGCTCTGGATACCCTGAGTTTCTGAGTTGACTTCTACTTCCCAGGGATTGACTTCTCATGATCTTTGAAATTCAGAGTGCTGGATCTTTTAGGGCCTTCTTTGGTGTCTCACAAGAGTTCCTGGGTACCTGAGCTGTCCCACTCTAAGCATTACACTGGTCACCACTGATCTCCTATGGCTTCCAAAATCCATTTTCCCACCCCAAGGTTGTCTCATAGTGGTTCTCTACCCTGCTACCTCCTAACACAGAGGCTTGCGGGCTTCATAGAGATTTTGTTACATTAGGAAGCTAAGGGCTTGGTTGCTTGCACTGGCTCTGGTTTTGCTGTTAGACCTCTTTCCTATTGCCCATAGAGTTCTGACTGACTCTTGGTGCAGTTCTGGGGCAAAAGGAGTCACTTACTGTAGTATCTCATGGGATTTCTTGCTTATTATTTGGTTTAGTGTGAACTTAAGGTTTTGATGAATTAGTGTGAATTTAAGGTCAATGTGATGAGGTTTAGGGGTGCTGGGACCCCAAAATCATGATATGCAGGTCCTGCCGGAAAGAATTCAACCCAAGCCTACTTTCAGCCAAAAACAAGGTTTATTAAAGATCCACCATATTGGGCAGACTCTTAAGGAGTCTGAACATTAGTGAGCTAGTGGCTAGATTATAAAAATCTGAGCAGTGACTAGATTATAAGAATCTAAGCATCTTAATAGAGACAAGATGGACCTTATATACAAAAAGACTGTGGGAGGGATCTAGGAGTGACCAAGTAGTTTGAAGTGACTGGTGAAGGGGTCTGGATGGGAGTGGCCAGTAAACTGGGGTGAACAGAACTCCTGGGACCTGGATAATGGAGCCTAGCTAGGATTAAGTGTGGAAAATGGCAGGGGACCATAGGGAGGACTAGGCTAGGTTTAGGGTAACAGAGAATTGGGAGATTGGGTGTAGCCACAATGAAAGGCCAGTTGATGGAATTATAGACTCAGGCTAATGCCAGAGATTTGGTCATGTGGGGAAGTCCAGGGTTTTTTCTTTCTGGGGTCCAAACTCCAACCCCATCAAGTGTGAGCTGTGCAGTCTGCCTCTGTTCAGACAACCATCTTGGCCAGAAGTCCACCAATTAACCCCTAAATCTATTGGCTTCCCCCTCCCCCTCCCCCAGTCCTTATCCTTCTGAAGTATCTGCCACTACTGACTCCGCCTTTTCCTGGATGTTTTTGTGACACTGCTGTTTCTTCTATCCCAAGATTCTGACCTCAGCTCTCCCATTTTTTTGTTCGCCTTCACCCATCTCATCAACTCCCATGTTTATGCTGAGGACTCCCAAATCTGTGGATCTGTGATTTCATTGGTACAGGGAACTTTTAGATAGAGAAATTCCCTCTTCCAATGCAGGTTGGCACTGATGAGGATGGAATCTAGATCCCAAAAAGGAAAAACCTTGAACTTTCTCACATGGCCAAATCTCTGGCATTTGTCTGAGGCTATAATCCCATCAACTGGCCTTTTGTTATAGCCTACACCCAATCTCCCAATTCTGTTACCCTTAACCTAGTTTAGCCCTCCATTGTTTTACCTCCCTATGCCCCCAAGCCACTTCCCACCCTTAATCCTATCTAGGCTCCATTCTCCCTTGGCCAGGTGGTCCAGGGACCTGGAGTTCTATTACCTCATAGACTACTTGGCCACTCCTAGATCTCTCCCATAGTCTTTCTGTATATAAGATCCATCTTGTCTCTATTAAGATGCTCAGATTCTTATAATCTAGCCACTGTTCAGATTTTTACAATCTAGCCAATAGCTCACAGATGCTCAGATTTCTTAGCAGTCTGGCTAATATGGTGTATCTTTAATAAACCTTGTCTTTGGCTGAAAGAAGTCTTGGGTCGAATTCTTTCGGGCAGGACCCTCAAGTTGTGATCTTGGGATCCCAGCACCTCTAAACCTCAACAGCACCTCTGCAATTTATGGTCTTAGAGAGTCTGCTCACATCTATAAAACTAGCCATAATTTCCCACTTTCTCCACTACTTGAATGTCCCATGGGTATTTTGAACTCAATATATTTTAAATGAAATTCATATTTCCTCCCTAAGCCCACCCTCCCTTCCCAACTTCCCTATTTCGGTTGAGAGTATTATCATCCTTTTAGTTAAATAAATTTACAAGCTTGAAATCACTCTTGAATCATTCTTAATTCTGCCTCCTATACCTATTTCTAACTTAAAGTAGTTTAAGCAACAAAAAACTACAGTCAAAATCAGATAAGATTTGGAAACTTCTGGATTACCATATTCCAAAAGGCAAAAGGCATAGGCTTACAACCAAAAGTAACAACCTGCAGGGGGAATAAATTGGATCTTTAATGGAATAGAAAGTTTTTAAGTTTTATAGATTCTACTGCTATAACATCTCTTATATCTATTCCCTTTTCTCCACTCACATGACTACCATCTTACCTCAGGCTCTCATTAACCCTCCCTTGACCTATTACATTAACCTCTTATTTGGCCTCTTGTCCCCAAATTTTTCTTTCCAATTCATCCTTCATATAAGCTGCTGAAGTAATCTTCCCTAAGCAAAAGTCTTACCATGTCACCAACCTACTCATAAATCTTCAGTGGCTTCCTGTTGCCTTTTGGATAAAATAAAACTCCTTAAAGCCCTCCATAGTCTGGCTTCAACTTATCTTTCCAGACTTATTTGACATTTCTCTCCTTCATGCATTCTTGTGCCATCGGAACTGGCCTATTTGTTGTTCTACACACTCCACATTATAATCTCTACTTTTGCCTGAGCTGTCTTCTATGCTTGGAATCCACTCCATATTTCTACCTCTTAAAGTCGTTAGCTTTCTTTAAGGTTCAACTCAGCTACTGCCTCTTATAGAAGAAATTCCTGATACTCAATAAACATTTATTCATTTATTAAGCTCTATGTCTGAGGCATTATGCCAAGCGCTGGAATTACAAGACAGTCCCTGCTCTCACAGAGTTTAAAAATCACACACACACACACACACACACACACACACACACACACACACATATACTGAAAGGGGGGGGTGAGGTAGGGAAGACAGTGAAAGAGTGCCCAAAGCAGGGGCATAGTGGAAAACAGAAAGTCCCAAAGTCGTGCAGCAAGGTGAGAAATGAGGGGATATGTAAGCTGAACTCTCTCCTTAAATGGAGGTTTGGAGTTCCTACAGTAAGGGAGACCGAGGATAATGAAAAGGTCCAGCCAACACTGAGGCTGATTAGATTTTTCGGGTTGATGAGATTATCCCATTAGTGAGCTTTCTGGGGCGTGAAGGAGAGGTCAAACAAGTTCCAAAATAGTGAAGTCAGGTGAGAAACGAGGATCCTATTCTCAGCAGCGGGGTCTCTCCATCCTCAAATAATTTTGTACACATTTCTCTTTAAGGATTGTATTCCCTCAGTACAATTTAAGCTCTTTGAGGGTAGGGACTATTTTTTGTTTTGTTTTGTTTTGCTTTTACTTTGAATACCCAGTGCCTAGCAGAGTGTCTTACACCTACTTAATAAGTGCTAGTCAATAGATGAAAATAATTTGCAAAATTACTGCAAAATGAACTAGGAATGACTGAAAAAAAAAACCTCAATGTATTAACTCTTCAGGGATATGACATGCATTTAAATGGAAGACAAAACTCACTGAGCCAAGGGTATGACTATCTTTGCAACTTTAAGCATCATTGAAGATCGGGACTGGAGAGCTCGAGTAGGGAAATGAAGCTTTCTGACCACAAGGAAGTAGCAGGTGGCACGTTTCCAACTCTGTGGGTAATAGAACTACATTTCCCATATACTTGTGAGCCGACAACTCCCATCATGCTTCTGGCTATTTCATAATAATCTATTCTGTACTATATACAATGGAGAAATGGAAAAGGGAGGGGACAGAACAACGTGGGCGGTGCGAAGATGGACAGTGCTCCAACCAATCAACCCCGGTGAGCCCTCCTTTCCCGGGGTTATAAATTGGACAAGGCCTGGAGTTTCCTCCCCGCCCCCTCTCCGGGAATTGTACTTCTCCAGTGTACCCCGAGAAGAGCTGAACTGAAGCAAGATGGTTGGGGGCCGTATCACCAGGATGTCTGTCTACGATGTGCGTTTCCCGACCTCTCTTGGAGGCCACGGGTCCGATGCCATGGTAAGAGTGAGCTCCAAGTCCTGAGCCCGTGAGCTTCTAGCCCGAGTCATTAGCGAAGGCCGTCCGTATCCCAGCGAGGAAGATCGCGAAGCGAAGTTGGAAACACGCGGAGACTTTGACCCGCGTGGTTCCACCCTGGTTGGAGTCGCGGGAGCGGGATGCGGGGGTAGGGCGTAGCGCGGCACTGACAGCCAGACCCCAGCTACGTTCTCTAAGTAGTTTACCACCTTTATGGTGGTTATGGTGAAGTTTCTCAGCTGCAGTTGTCCAACTTTCAGGAACTTCTGGGCGCAATTTTTTCCAAGACTAGTCTAAATCCCTGCTATACCTGACCCACTAAGTGGTCGGCCGGTCGGCAAACCTCTCCTTAAATATCCGCTGGCGCAGTGTGCGGGCCATTTCACTTGGGACAACTGTCAGCAAGTTTTTCCTTATATTGAATCAAAATACATGACCCTAGCTTCCTTCGAAAAATGAATTATCATATTTTACTATATCTCTAATTTTAGTGATATAGGGAACTCCCAATGAGGAACCTTCTACCAATGCAATTCAGCAACAGTTGCAACTTAAGAGTTTAGAGAGTTGCCTGGGTGCAAAAAGGCTTACCGTGATCTCACGTAGCTGACACGACGTGTCAGAGAGAGTCTTAAACACAGGTCTTCCTTACTCTGTGGACAACTCTCTACCTTCACGGCCACAATGGCTCTACTTAAAAATGTGAATAAAATATAAAAAGGGGAGGGGGAGGAAGGGCCCTTACTAGATGATTTTTTTTTAAAGTAGAAAAAAAAATGTGAAGGGCTGCCTCTAAGAACGTTAATGTAGCGTTTTAAAGCTGGAAGGGATTTGGGAGGTCATTTAGTTCAGTTTCATTTGAGGATGAGGAATCTGAATCCCAAAGATGGATAACTTGTCCAAAATCCCACACCTAGTCTTCGATATTTTTTCAAACATACACGTGGTTTTTGTTTATTTTGGGAGACTTTTAAAGAGCAGTATAGGATTTGGACCCTTTTTTCCTAACTAGTTGATTCAGATAGGTGTTGAGGCTTAGAGATACTGTAGAATTCAGACTATATGAATAGTAAGAGCCTTTACAATTCTGACGTTCTGTGACAGTAAAGTCTAGTCCAAACTCCTCTATTTGCTGATGAGAAAAGCCTGAGAGATTTACAGGACTTGCCCCGGGTCACACAGAATTACAGTATATAGAGGTAAGAAAGTGGTGGTGGTGTGGTGGTGGTGGTGGTGTTTTTTTAGTCCCAAGAATATTTATAGGGTGTGGAAAATGAGCTTGTAGATAGATGGAAGGTGTAGGATGTAGGAGAGATGGAAGATGGAGAAGACATTATTGGGGAGACAAGATCCCTAAGCAGATCTGGAGGGAATGACATCAAGGGTACAAGAAATGAGGTTAGCTTGGCAAGGAAATGGGCATTTCATCCTCGAGTCCTAGCATCTTAAACATACTAGCGAAGGAGGTTAGTATGGGTTATAGTTAGTAAGTTGAATAGGAGCAGAATCTAAGTTTTCTTACTCTTACTCCAGAGGGTAAAAAGCATCAAACCTTACCCACTCCCTTGTCTCCCTCCCCCCTTTTAAAATATTTGACTTAAAAATCCCAGGTTTTCACATCTTTTTTTCTTTAAAATGTGTAGAATGTTGCTAAAAGATATTTTTCTCCTGTAATTGTTACAAATTAAATTATTAACAACCAAAATTTAAAAATTTTAAAATCAATTAATGGACCTCACAGGGTACAATGTAAACAGCACTGGATGCAAGGCCAGAAAGTCTGGATTCTAGGGTCACATAGTGTAACCTTGGATGTGACACAGTTTCTTTATCCATAAAATGAGGGAGGTGCTGTATTTGGCCTTTTGACTCTTAATATTCAATAATCCCTTTTTTTAAAAAATCTCCCTTGGGCAAGTCACTTAACCCCAACTGCCTTTTAAAAAAAACCAATCTCTATAGGGTATATGCCTAGTTATGGTATCCCTGGATAAAAGGGAATATACAGTTTAGTAACTTTTGGGGGATAGTACTAGTTTGCTTTCCAGTATGGCTAGACCTATTCACCTTGCTTCCAACATCCTTAGTGTCTTCTCATAGAATTTCTAATAATTATCACTTTACTTTTTTGTCATCTTTGCCAAGGTGTGTGAGGTAGAAGCTCAGAGTTGATTTTACTTGCATCTGTCTATCTTACTGTTGGTGTTTTGAAGTGTTTTTTAATATAGTTGTTCATAGCTTGCCTTTCCACAAGCTGAACAACCTGTTCAAATCCTTTGGTCATTTTATCTCTTAGTGAATGGCTCTTGTTCTTACCTATGTGAATCAATAGCAATCTATCTCATAGGATGCCATTGTCAGAGAAGTTTGATGCAAAACTAAATCCTTTTTAATTTTAAGGCATTGACTTTGCATGTGTGAAACTTTTTTCCATTTTATGTAATCAGAGTTATCCATTTTCTCTTATTAATCCTCTCTATCCTTTATTTGGTCAAGAATTCTTCCTCTACCTGTAGTCATGAAAGATCTCCTTTCCTACTCCTCTAATTTATGACATTACCCTTTATATCTAAGCCGTGAATCAACCTAAACTATGAGCTAAGGAGGTTTGGGTTGCAAGTCATTAGGGTTTTCTGGTGGACCCAGGTAGCTCCATTTAAAACACAATGGGCTTCTAAAAGCCTGTCTTTTCATAGCTATATTTCAAGAAATCAAAAATGAATTGTACTGGGTTTAAGTTTAAAGCTCAGAGTTTTGATTTGAATTTCTTTTTCAGTAAGGTCTCTTACATTTCTTACAAGCACAATGCAGCCTAATTAACTTTCATGCTCCTTGAGTTACTTATTATTTTGCTTCTTCCAGGATTATGGCGTTTTAAAAATCTGCAGCAGCTATATAGATTACCAGGAGAGTTTTGGCTCTTAAAGAGACAGGATTTTGAAGCATTGAACTAGTTGAGATAATTGGAAGCATAGGTTGACCAACTCTTCCCAAGGTCCATCCAGCCTTATTTCTTCCACTACTCAATTTGGGGTCAGCCAAATTTTTTGTTTGTTTTGGAGGCAGTGGGGGTCAAATGACTTGCCCAGGGTCACACAGTTAGTTAACTAGTAAGTGTCTGAGGCTGGATTTGAACTCAGATCCTCCTGACTCCAGGGCAGGTTCTCTATTCATTATACCACGTAGCTGCCCCTAGCCAATTGTTTATCTGCAGCACCCATGCAGTCCCTGGCCACATTATCAGTGAACTAATTTGACAGACTGTTATAGCCTGAGCAACTTATATTTTTCATTCACTTTTTTCATCTACAGAAGAACAGACATTTGCATTTATTGAGAATTTCATTAAGATTACTTAATAGCATTTTAGAGCTTGATATATAATTTGTACAATGTCATGCAAAATATAGCATTTGGAGAGGCTGCATCAACAGGTGGGACATTCCCAGCCAGGATATCTTTTTTTTTGAAAAGAAAATAAACATACACTTACAGGAGAATGACACTGATTATAGGACACATAAGTTTTATACAAATTAGATCTTGGGGAATAAAATGGCTATATACATATGTTTTTGTACTGATGCAATATGGTGCTTAAATCATTCGTGTTCTGTGTCTTGTATTATTTTTTGCATTTTAGATGTTAATCTTTACTCCCTCTGTAGATGGTAATCTCCTTAAGGCAGGAGTTCTTAAGCTTTTTGTATGTTATAGACTCCTTAAGTGGTCTGGTGAGGTCTATTGACACTATCTCAGTGTTTTTAATTTAAATGCATAAAATAAAAGACAAGGATTAAAAAGGAAACCAGTTATATTGAAATAGTTTTCAAAATATTTACAAAACAAATTCAAAGTTCAGAACCTCTGTTAAGGCCAGGGACTATATAATACACAGGACTTCTCTACCACCACCACCATCTCCCTTCACCTTTCCCATTGTCTTTGGGTAGTGTTACGCATACTTTATTACCCATTCTATGCAATCTGTGTTGGTTTTACTCATTGGTAATCAATGCAGCAGTCCTTGGGGCAGCTTAAGTGGAGCAGTGGATAGAATGCTGGACCTGGGGTCAGAAAGACTCATCTTCATGAGTTTAAAACTGGCTTCAGACATTTATTAGTTGTGTGACCCTGGGCAAGTCATTTAACCCTATTGGTGTCAGTTTCTCATCTGTAAAGTGGTCTAGAGAAGGAATGGCAAACCACTCCAATATCTTTGTCAAGAAAACTCCAAATGGGGTCACAAAGAATCAAGCATGGCTAAAAACAATAACAAAGCACCAGGCCTTGGGGAGTTGAATTGCATGAGAGCTTCAGCTCTCTGCATGTTTTCCTTCCCAATCTCACTTGGCTTCTGACAGCTTCCAGAGCTTTCAGAAACTTGTTTGTGTGGGGTAGTGTACTCAAAGAACTGAGGAAGGAAATAGATAGCCATAGTCAGACATGAGCAAACATTCATGGGTGTAAAATCAACTGGAATGCCATTATATTTGGAATTTGACAACTGAATTGATCAATATAAAATAAATTCCCTCACTTGATTTTATTAGTGTGGCTACTGTCTCCTTAGAAGGTCATTCTTCTCGGCCCCTCCCCCCCAACTTATTAAAATGTTTTCATGAATTGTTGTCGCCAAAAAAAAAAATCTGTCACATGGTGGCCGGGCTCCCTTGGGTAATGAGCTTCTCTTAATTGAATCGGGCTGGTCCTCTGATAATATTTACTTCCTGGTGGGATGCTTACTCAAAGCCTTCATCACTGTGTAAGACCCAGCAGAGGCAGCGTCCACAGCATGACCTCTGTGATCCCAGGTTCATCTGGAATGTAGAGACAGCAGGTAGGACTGATGGAGGACTTTCATTCTTACCCTCTTTATTGTTCACTTCATCACCAACAGTTTACTCAAATTAATCTGTTATGCTAGCTCTTACTTATTGTTCGTGACTTCTATTTACCTAAGATTACTAAAGTTTTTATTGGGGTGGGGGGGTATTGGAATGTTTCCATGCAGCACACTGACCCAGACTATTCTGCAGCCTATGTCGTAATAGAGACAGATGCAAAGAATGGACTCAAGGGATATGGAATCACCTTTACTTTGGGGAAAGGAACTGAAGTTGGTAAGTTGACTTTTCTTCAAGTATGGAAGTGTTTAGGCATCTTTCAGTTTTGTTCTTGTTTAAGCATGTTTTGACATTCTTAGAGCTTGAAATAAAAGAAAGTAAAGAGATACCTGTTTTTAATATAAGTGGGATGATTTTTTTTCAATTTTTTAACATTTTTATTTGAAGTTTTGAGTTCCAAATTCTAGCTCTCCCTCCCTCCCCTCCTCTTCCTCCTCTCTAAGACGGTAAGCGATCAGATACAGGTTATACATGTGCAATGATGTAAAACATTTCCATGTTAGTTATTTTGTACAAGAAGACTCAAAAGAAAAAAAAATGAATGAAAGAAAGTGAAAAATAGCATGCTTCAGTCTATATTCAATCAATATCAGTTCTTTCTGGGGCAGCTAGGTGGCGCAGTGGATAGAGCACCAGCCCTGAAGTCAGGAGGACCTGAGTTCAAATGCAGCCTCAGACCAAACACTTGACACTTACTAGCTGTGGGACCCTGGGCAAGTCACTTAACCCCAATTGCCTAAAAATAAAAAAAAAATAAATAAATAAAATTAAAAAAAATATATCAGCTCTTTCTCTGGAGGTGGATAGTATACTTCATCATTAGTCCTTTGGGATTATCTTGGATCGAGTGCAGTGATTTTTAAGGAAAATTGGCCATTCCCCTCCTCAGCCACCCACGAGTTGCTTCAAAACTGACCTTCCTGGGCCCATTTTCCCATTGCTTCCAATGAGGGTAACTTGAATAATAATTATTAACCAATTGTTTGATTTGAAATTCAGCTTAAGCAGTAAAGGTTATCATTTTAATATGTGGCCTAATCAACAGAGTACTGGACTTGGAAGTCAGGAAGATCTGAGTTCAAATCCTGCCTTATGCCAGCTGTGTGACCCTGGGCAAATCACTTAACTCTGTCAGCCTCAGTTTCCTCAGTTGTAAAAGTAGGGATAATAATAGCAACTACCTTACATTATTGTTGTGAGGATTAAATGAGATGATATTTGTAAAGTGCTTTAGGAACCTTAAAGCATTCTATAAATGTAGCTATTGTTGTTTTTGTTATAGGAGCATTTACTTTCTTTTAAAATTATTTCATACCAGAATAAAGTTCACGTCCACCGATTCTAGGACTTGTTCTCAGAATCCTAGACCTGGAAGGAACATCAAATTTCCTCATCTCTAAATTAAAGGGGTTGGACTAAAATGCCTTTCTCATCAATGCTCCTGAGCCCTAAAAAAATGAGTACAGGTCCTTCTACAAAATGAGGCAATTGTGAACCATCTCGTTTCTCTCTACTTAAGCCTCTGTTCCTTACATCTATGGCACATATTAGTTCATCAGAGTAGAACAGTATCATCGTAGAATCATGGAATGCTTTAGACTGGAAGGGATCCTTGGATCCTCCCAAATCCCTCATTTTACAAATGAGGAAACCAAGTCACCTAGTGGTCACTGAGTGGTGGAGCTGGATAGAACCCCAGGTCTCCTCAGTTACACCACAGGGCTCTGTCCATACAGACCAATTGTTGGAAAGGAATGAGCAATTTACTACAGTATCTGGTATGTCTGTTAACCGCCTGAAACTGTAAATGTAGTTTCCAAAGTGGCCTGACTTGAAACCACAAAGCAGTAAACGGGGTTAACCTCAGACAAAATTCTGAAGTAGCCAAATACTTTCTGTGTCCTTTTCTCCTAAATATCTAATTCCCTAGTCCTTTCTTTCCCCCTCTTAAAAATCTGCTTTCAGGAAAGTATATGACGTCAGAGGGTTTTTGAAGTGAAAGGATAAGCCAGATAACCACATGAGAGACTAGATCTTATCTTTGAATCAGTCAGCAGCATTTATTGAGTGTCTCATCTATGCCAGACACCACTGACAGACCCTGAGGAAACAAAGAAAGAATGAAACAGTCCCTGTGTGAAGGGAGCTTACCTTCTAATGGGAAAGATAACAAGTGCATGTCAGTATAGAGAGTCTAAATACAAAGTGTGTAAGTACAAGTGTATGCGTACGAGGGAGTTTGGGCAGGAAAGCGAGATAGCCTTTGCAAGGCTCAGGAAAGGCTTCAGGCAGAAGATGGTGCCTGCGTTGCATCTCAGAGGAAGAGAGGGACTCCCGCTGTATGAATCAGAAGTAAGGGAGTGCCCTTTGAGCCTACAAAATGCCAATTCAGCTCCATTGCAAAACTAAGGTTATCTTTATTCGGTTCTATCAAACATAGTATACAGGGTTAGATTAACCTTTTTTGTTTCTTGGATCCTGTTGGCTGTTTGCTAAAGCCTAGGGCTCCTTTCCCACAATAATGTTTTGAAATGCATAAAATACATAGGGTTATAATGGAACTAATTGTATTAAAATACAATTACCAAAATATTTTTTAAAAATAAATTCATGGGCCTCAAGTTAGGACCCTTGGTTTAACGCTTGTGTTTGTGCTAAGAACAAGGATACCTTGTATCACTTAGGAGTCCTTTTTTTTTTTTTTTTTTGAAGGCAGTCAGCATTAAGTGACTTGCCCAGGGTCATATAGCTAGTATCTGAAGCCACATTTGAACTCAGATCCTCCTGACTCTAGGCAAGTCTTTTCTTATATTCATTGTGGATGTGCTACATAATCTCACATAATAACTGACTTTATAAGGTACTTTAAAGTCCTCAAAGAGTGCTTTGCATTTATTATCACATTTGAGCTTTGTTACAACCTTGTGAGTATGTAATATTTTCCCTATTTTACACATGAAGAAACTGAGGCTCAGATCTTAGGATTGTAGTGGTAGGAGGGACTTCAAAGGCTGTATAATCATTTCATTTTACAGATAAAGAAACTGAGGCCCAGGGAGATTATTGCCCAAAGTCACACAGCTAGAAAATATCATAAGGCAGAATTTGAACCCAGATCATCTTGACTCCAACCCCAGCACTCTATCCTCTATGCCATTTTGCTCAGATAATGTGATATCATTCTAATCATTTTAATTAAAGTTTTTATTTCATCTTGATTCCATTCTCCGCATCTCCTTAGGATTGTTTGTTTTAAGTGGGGTTTGGCTTTATTTCTTTGCTAATGTTGGAAGATGGTGTTCATAAACAAATGTCTTCAAGCTCTGCCTTTTAGTTAAAAGTGGTAGAATATTTGGCTTTTATAATTCCTACTGGAAATCATTTAATACTAGTAAAGCTAGTGTTCACTTCTAGGATCTTTTTGAAATGCCTTAGGCATTGGCCTTTCATATGTTTTTATAATTAGTGGAATGGTTGAATTTAAGGGAATTCTTTTTTAACTTGGCATGTTGAAAATACTAATTAAGTACATGGTTTCTTTTTGGAGCTCAGTGTTCTGAATCCTTAGTTAAATTCTTTGGACTTTAGATGTAAACACTTTAACTAAGCTTCTCAATGCCACTTACACTAGCTTATGCAGCTAATTTTCATAATTTACAGATTGCTGATCCTCAAATTTATGGCAGCCATTCTGAATGGTACTATGCAGTGTCAGGATTGAACCTGCTACCTATTGAATTCCTGTAGAAATTAATCAAAAATATAATGTGGTGTAGTGGGAAAAAACATGGTAAAAGTGACAGATAACTTGGACTGGAATCCCGTTTTTTCTATTTACTACCAATTCCACTCAAGGCAAGTCACTTCACCCCAGTGGGCCATAGTTTCCTCATCTGAAAAATTAGGGGATTGCACTAGATTAACTGCTTCCTTTCACACCTAAGTCCTATTAGGGACATGTGATCTCCAGTCATTAACAAGAAAGAGTACATAGATATATATCTTTCTGATCCGTTATTCAGTTGACTATTTACTCACTGTATGACCATGTTCACGTGGGTTGTTCTTTCTGGGTCTTAGCTTCCTGATTCTAAAATAACAAGTTGGATACAATGGCCCCTAGCCCCTTCCTGCTCTAAATCTATGATTCTGTGGTCAGGGGAACATTGTACATAGAGATTGTCCAGATTTTAACAAAGCATTTGACAATAGTAGTGATAATAATAATAATGATAATATTAATAATAATAACTGACATTTATATAATTAATGTTGGCAAAATACTTTTACATATATCATCTCTTTTAAGCCTTAAAAAAATCCTGTGAAGTAGGTACCATAGATATTATTTTTTTTTTAAACAGATGATGAATTTGAGGAACAGGGACGTTAAGTGATTTGGCCTGGTCAGACCATATGTAGAGTATTATGTTCATTTTTTAGCATCACATGTTAGGAAAGATGTTGATAAGCCAGAGTGCATTCAGAAGATGGTATAAGGCCTACTTGTTGTTCAGTGATTTTTAGTTGTGTCCAACTCTTTGTGACCCCATTTGGGGTTTTCTTGGCAAAAATACTGGAGTGTTTTGCTATTTCTTTCTCCAGCTCCTTTTACAGATGAGGAAACTGAGCCAAAAGGGCTTAAGTGACTTGTGCAGGGTCACATAGCTAGTAAGTATCTGAGGCCAGATTTGAATTCTGGTCTTCTTGACTTCAGGCCCTGGCACTCTATCCCCGGACCACCTAACTCCCTAGAGAATCTTCCATATGAGGATCGGTTGCAGGAACTGATGATCGTTAGCTAGGTGTAGAGAAGGGAAGGAGGGGAAGAGATATGATAATTGTCTTCAAGTGTCTGAATGGCTGTCCTTTAGAAGAGGGATTACACATGTTATGTTTGACCCAGAAGGCAGAAATAAGAGTAATAATGGGTGTAAGCCACAGAGGCCAATTTCAGCTGGATGTCGGGCAGGATCTTCTAACAATCAGAAGTTTCCCAAAAGGGAATGGGCTGCCCCAGGAGACAGTAGACTCCTTCAGACAAAGGATAGGTGACCATTTGTTTTTCGGATATGTTGTAAAGGGTTTACCTGTTAAAATATAGGATGGACTCTTAAAAGTCTAAGGTGCCAAGTTTTGGGGCAGGCAGAGGTCATGGGAACTTAGGCACCATGGTATAGTAAAAGGAACATTGGATTTGAAGTCAAGAAGAACTGGGTTCAAATGCTCTGATGCTTGTTACCTGTAGCCTCAGTGTTCTCATCAGTAAAATGCCCTTTGACCTATGGCTCTGCCCTTGAAGTCATCCCCTTTATTTATTCATTAGGCACTAGGAGTGAGAAACAGTACTGCTGATCACACTGCTAATTATAACATGTTTGTATGGCCCTTGGCTGTTCACAAAAGATTTTCATCAAAACAACCCTGATAAGATGTCTTAGAATGAACTAGGTTCCACATGTTCCTGGACCTGTCCCGTGATGTAAGTTAAGCCTCTTTAACTTCACGACTGCAAAACCTTTTTGTTGTAGCCAGTGTTGAGAAAAGTACAGACAAATCCACAAAGATTGAGTAAGACTGAGCTCATCAAAGATAGTGACAATTTCGTAGCTTCATGCCTGGCCTTTGGAACCATTACCTGTGAGATAGATAACCAAGGCTTTGGACTGCTCATTTCAGATATTTTGCTGATTTTCTCTTCATTCCTTTGGCTGAAAACTCGTTTGGGGATTTAACCGAGACTTCTCTCTGAACATGGCCAGACAGCTTAGCCTTCACCTAATGTTGCCCATTGGCTTAAAGTTTTAAGATAGATATCCAACCTTGGATCACATGCTCTAGCTCCTGACTTTGGGACCTTGAAGAACACCTCCCAACCTCACCCCCAACTTTCCCACCTGCCTCCTGTGCCAAGAAGGCAAAAATAGATTTCTTTCTTAGTATTTTTTAAATAAATGTGGTTTTTTTTTTTTTTTGGTAGTAAAGTTTTTGTTTCTGCCTTCCTGAGGCCACAACATGGCAGAACCCATTTGAATCTGACCACACAGGTCAAGTGATTCATAGTGGTCTCGTTAAATGTGTTATACTGATGAGACCTCATACATTCGAGATGAAACATGTCCGTTGGGGTTTTTTTAATATTTAAAGCTACTTCACTCAGCTTGCTTAGTATTTCTATAACCACATGATTCAGAAAAGAGAAAAAAATGTTCTACTTTTCCCCAGTTCAATTAGAACTTTTAAAAACATGCGTATGTAAAAAGACAAATTCCTCCCACTGGCTAAAACATAGCTACCAGAACAGCACTCAGATGAGGCTGGGAACAGCAGGGAGCAACAAAGCCACATGCTCAGTGGAGATATTACAGGAGTGTTAGAAGTAACACTGTAATTAATTAACTTTAATTAATTTTTAGAGTGTTCCCAGCCATTCATGGGTTAACGTACATGTGTCTAAGCATCATACGCATGCAAAGTATACTTTAATACTTTAAGGATATGTACTTTCATTGTTGTGAGTCCTCCCTCTACAATGGCCTTAGAGAGTTAATGTGACCGAAAAATCCGTCACCCTGAGACCAACTTCTTGCTGAGCCTCCCCAAACTTACCCAGTCCTTGAAAAATATTTTTTACCATTATGTCCCAGGGCCCATATTCCAAGCCTGTCTAGGTTGGTTGGACCTGCCAGAGCCAGCACTCTGCTAGGATTATCTTCCAAGAACCCAAGGTTCTCCATATCATTATGAGTTATTTGGAGTAGGACTTTAGTGAAATACAGCTAGGTCTCGATTAATGAAAATAATGAATCCATATAGTCAGATTTTCACTATTCAAAGTTATATAACTATGTAAAAATGGCCATTTGTTCCAGCCCCATTGTAAACATTCACTGTGAATTTGAACAATAGGACCACCTCATGGGATTCATTATTCCAACTAATTGAGACCTAGCTATATATTGTCAGGGAATTTTTTCCACCTCTTAGGAACAGCATACCCATCAATGGAACACTGGTGAGTGTGGGTCAAAAATAGGAGACCAAAATAAAAGCAGAGAGATTTATTAGCATGCCAAGGAAACTACTGATAGCAGCTTCAACTTCCTGCAAGTGCAGATTTAGTTTTTATAACTTTTCAGTTCTGCTTAGAGTATGTAGCCAATCAGCAGCATTCTGCAGCAACTTAGGAGAGATAAATAACACCTTTTACAGGAGAGGGACAAGGAGAGAAAGAAGGAATCATTTAAGGGAAAAAAGGGGAACTTCTGGGGGGATATTTGTCATGCATCTGGTAGGGTTTATCAGAAGGAGAAAATATTCCCTGTTCAAGGGCTGGAGACAAGGGGAGGTGGCAAAATAGTTTTACAATTGTGAAAAGGATCCTTTTAGACAAAACTTCAGAGTTGAGGTCACTGTTTAAGCAAGTCTACAGGTGTCTCTTATCCAAGGACAACAAATACTTGTTAGAACAGTGGATGAGACTATTCTCCTTACTTTCCACTATTAGGCCACCAGATGATTGGAGGATGTCTACATTTTTAATCTGTCAAGATTTAAGATGATCGTGGTCCCCATTCTCCATCCCCATCACAATATGTATTATAGTATATTGTTGCTATGGTCCCAAAGTATCAAATTGCTGCAGTTTTTAAGATCCGATTCTCACAACTTCAGTAATTAAAATCCACGTTCTTTATTAGTCTAATTGCAGAATATAATCGAAAAATACAGTTACATAGTCAGGGTATATCACAGCATCCAGGATGTTATGGGGATACTTTTGGGTTTTCTCATTACCATGTGACCTGCTGATCAAGGTATGGTCAGTGATTCATAGTATTGATCCAAGTCAAGGGCCCAAAGTTTAATGTGGCTTAGAGTGTAATGTACCATAAGTTATCGCTCTTTTCTTCAAATTCCTTTTATATACAAGGACACAAATTCCTTTTGAAAAGAGTGCCATAATTAGTGATTAACCATTGAGAAACAAACACCACATTTACCTTTCACTATTCTCCGGAAAAGCCATCATTCCTTCCACCATCCTGTAATGATTTATGATGATACACAAGTGACTTAACCTCCCAGAGCCACTGTTAATAACAATAATAAAAATGGTAATAACTGGCATTTGTATGATGCTTTCATATTTGCACAAACACTTTCCATATGTTATCTCTTTTGATTCTCACAGTGCCCAGTGAGTTAGATGTTATTATTAACCCCATCTTACAGATGAGAAAACTGAAGATGATGATTCTTAGAAAGGTCATGTGACTCCAGGCTCACATTTCTAGTAAGTAGAAGAGGGGGCGGGATTTGAACACAGGTGGTCTTAACTCCAAGTCCAGGGAACTATTCACTACACCATTAAGCTACCTGGGCTATCTACCCCACTGGGTCTATGTGAAGAAAGTACTTTGCAAACATTACAGCTATATTATCATTATTACTTAACATAGCAATAAATTAATCTTCTTTCATCAGTAAAAAGTGATTCTGGTTAGGTTCTAGATATAGAAACATTTTGATAGCAAGTATTTGTGTACTCAGAAGTAAGGTTGAATTTTAAAACAGTTTTCTGTCATTCAAACCCCCCTTTCCTCCAGTTACTCTGAACAGGTGACATTTAACTCTAGGTTTGGTCATTGGTCAAACACAAAAGGACAGGTAGGTTGTGCCGTGGATAGAACATCAGTCCTGGAGTTCAGAAAACCTGAGTTCAAATCTGGCCTCAGATACTTACTAGCTGTGCAACGCAGGGCAAGTCACTTAACCCTGTTTGCCTCAGTTTCCTCATCTGTAAAATGAGCTGGAGAAGGAAATGGCAAACCATTCCAGTATCTCTGCCAAGAAAACTCCAAGTAAGATCACAGAGAGTTGGATGTGACTAAACAATGACAAATATAAAAGGAAAGTAATTTAGGAACATCACAATTTAAACTTTCAAGGCCCTATTTCTGGCATTAAGTCCAATCAGGACGTTCATTTTCTCTACTAGAAATTACCTACACCATCACACATATTAAAGGATGTAATATTTTTGAGTTACTCATTTATTATAGTTGGAAAGAATCTATTTGGGGATCCTTTTTAAAATTTAAAACATTTTACAAAATACACAGATTGGCTTCAAGTTGTTGAGTTGATGAAGTATTTTCCTCGATATATTGGCTTACTGTGAAGAAAAAGCAAAACCAACAACCAAATGCTTAATTGTGTTTTACAGTGGTCTGTGCCGTAAAAGCACTTTCCCATCATGTGCTTAATAAAGACCTTGGAGATATTGTTAGAGACTTCAGAGGATTCTACAGGCAACTCACTAGTGATGGACAGCTCAGATGGGTAAGATGCTTATTTTAGGGAATGTTGATATGACTCATGGGTTAGCAAAGAAAATCTGAGGTGTGCAATGAACATAAGCAACTATAATAAAAATATTAAGTATACCTGACAGTGGGAAAACTCTTACAGAGGAAGACATCTATGATACAGACAAATTAAGATTTCAGGGGTTTGAACAAGGTATTTTTGAAGATAGCTGATAAGATTCTGTTCCCTGAACAAGCAACATTGATTGCCCTGACCCGCACTGGGAGCTCAGGGTGATCCTCGAAGAGGCCATTCCACCACCCTTTACTTGCCTAATCCCAGTGTTTTAGGGAAATTAGTCCAAGCTGAAGCCATGGGATTCTCTAAACATGTGGATGTTATAGCCAGGCTGGAAACAGAACCCCAAAGCCAGTAAGAGGAAAATATGTGTCATAGACTTTATCATGGAAAGAGATGCCATCTAGTGCCAACCTTTCATTTTCACAGATGAAAACAAAACAAGACCCAGCCTTAGAGAAGTCATGTGACTAAAGTCACTTAGGTTAGTAAGGAGCAGAGTTGAGTCCCAGGCTCTTTCTAGTACCTGGTGCTGCTAAAAGACATGAACAAGGCAGTGGAGGAACTTTTCAGAAGTTCCAGAAGTGGAGGTTGGGGCGGGATCGTATGTAGTTATGCTTTCACATTAGTGGATTAAGCTCAGTTAAATCTGAACTGATGTAGTCACTTTGTTAGAGGCAGCTGGAGAGGAGCAGAGCATAAAGCTTTGGATCTGAGGAATGACTGAGTTCAAATCCAGCCTCAGATACTTACTAGCTGTGTAACCCTGGGCAGGGTCACTTAGCTTCTGCCTCAGTTGCTTTTTCTGTAAAATGGAAATCATGGTAGCACTTACCTTTCCAGGGTTGTTGTGAGGAGAAAATGAGATAATTTGAGTAAAAAACTCTTTGCCAAACTTAAAGTACTATATAAATGCTTTTCTTCTATATGCCTTATTTGAAAAAAACAAAACAAAACACTATTCAGTTATGGGTTTATTGTTGTTCAGTCATTTCAGTTGCGTCTCACTCTTTGTGACCAGATTCGTGGTATTCTTGGCAAAGATTAGAGTGGTTTGCCATTTCCTTCTCCAGCTCATTTTACAAATGAGGAAACTGAGGCAAACAGGGTTGAGTGACTTGCTCACACAGCTTGTAAGTGTCTGAGGCTAGATTTGAACTCAGAAAGATGAGTTTATCTGACTCCAGGTCTGTGAGTTTATTAATCCAGTAAACATTTTTAGAGTACCTACTATGTACCAGGCACTGTGCTAAGTGCTGGAATACAGTTAATAAAAAGAAAGGCATTCCTTGCTCTCAAGTTGCTTACAGTCTAACAAAGGAACACAACACACAAAAGGAGGCGGGAAAATAGGGGTGGGGGGAATAGGGTACCTGGTGTGGGAGGCATCTTGTTCCATTGAGTTGAAGCTAGCCAGAGCAGCAGATGCAGAATGGAATGAGCCCCCAAAAGTCCCGTTTCTTCCCTGGCTAAAGGAAGGCATTGGGAGGAGTTTGGTACTCCACCTAGAAATAGCATGGGAAAAATGTGACTTGTAAGACACTTCTTTTTAAAGATATTTCAGCCTTAAAGTGCTATATCAATGTTGCTGCTGATTGGTGATGATAGTAATGATGCACAGAATTCTCCATTACTTTCACTGTAGCTATGCCTGCTTGAAGCATAAGGAGGCTGTTATATAAATAGGCCTGTACTATTTTGCATATTCCCAATATTTCTTTTCTTTTCTGTCCAGTGAGGCAATCGGGGTTAAGTGACTTGCCCAGGGTCACACAGCTATTAAGTGTCAAGTGTCTGAGGTCGCATTTGAACTCAGGTCCTCCTGACTCCAAGGCTAGAGCTCTATCCACTACACTACCTAGCTGCCCCTAAAATTTAGATGCTATAGCATTGGTGCATATAGTTTTAGTGCTGCTATTGGTTCATTTTCTATAGTACCTTTTTTTATAATGTAGTTTCCTTGTTTGTTTCTTTTAATTAAATCTATTTTAGCTTTGACTTTGTCAGAGATCATGATTGCTACCTCTGTTTTGTTTGTTTTTTTTTTTTGTGAAGCAGTTGGTGTTAAGTGACTTGCCCAGCATATTCTCAATTTTTCACTTATGTTGTCTTCCCTCCGTTCTATCACTGACCTCCTTGGCTTCCTGTAAGTCCCAGCTAAAATCCCACCTCCAACAAGAAGCCTTCCCAACAACCTCTCTTAATTCCAGTGCTTTCCCTCTGTTATTTCCTATTTATCTTGTATATAGCTTGTTTGTACATATTTGTTTGCGGTTTGTCTCCTCTATTAGATTATAAGGCTGGTGTCGCTGGGTCAGAGTACATGGGTTGGGAAAGATGTGGGAGCAGGGGAAGGTTATGAAGAACTTTGAATGTTAAACATAAGATTTTATACAGTATTTGATCCTAGAAGTGATAGGGAGCCACTGGAATTTATCGAGGGGGGATTGGGGGAGGTTATGATATGATCAGGCTTATTCTTTCGGAAGATCACTTTAACAGCTCAGTGGAGAATGGCCAGCAGTGGGGAGAGACTTTTGGTAGAGACACCAACCTCTCTAATAGACCCAACACAAGAAATGGGGTATAGGGGAAAGAGCCCTGGGCTAGGACCGTGAAAGACAATGTCATGGTTCCTCTGTAAAATAGCCAGGAGACCATGAAGCTCTCTCTGCATGGTATTTTATGGACAGCAGAGACCTGGTCTTTAATCCTACTTTGGATACTTTGGAGCAGCATGATGATAGAAAATGACTCTCAGTTTATTCATCTGTGTAGAAATTGCCATTTTAAACTGACAGCTAAGAAAGAGAACAGATTTGTCATCGAGTCCCTCATCGTTGTTTATTTAGGTTTTTAACTTTGTGACTTTCAGAGAAGCTGGAAATATGGGATGTTCCAAAAGTCTTAGAGCAGTTTTAAGCTTTAATAGTTCAGTGCTATAGCAAAACTTTTGGGACACCGCGTCTTCATAGTTTCCAGATAGTTGTGCTGTGTTTTGTTTCCCAATAGATTGGTCCAGAGAAAGGCGTTGTGCATTTGGCTACAGCAGCTGTTTTGAATGCATTGTGGGACTTGTGGGCCAAGCAGGAGGGAAAGGTAAAGTGGTAACATTTTCTTAAAATTAAGCTTAGTTGTATTATCTTTTTCATTAACATGATTAGCATTTACTGGGCATTGGTATTTTGCTTGTGAATATGTATAATGTATGACAAAGGCTGATAGCATTTTCCTAAATCTGGTTTTTAGTGAGGAGGAGGGGTGGGTAGGGACAGGTTTTTTGTGATTTGGAGACACTGAGAATTGGTTTGTTTTCCTCAAAGGTGTGAGGAAGGATGGGAAAATGAAAGGAATACAGAAAGAAAAGAAACAAGTGGAGGAGGAAATAGCAAAGGTGTAGGAGAAAACAGAAGGCCATAGGGAGAAAATGTTGGGAAAGAGGACAGCATAGATATTTGTCACATGGAATCAGTTTGGGGCTGACACATTTTCTATCAGGCAAAAAAAATGGTGTGGGTGTGTGTTGGGCTACTTTTGTACATAAGTTTAATAAATGTCTTTTTTTTAACAGCCCCTTTGGAAATTACTTGTTGACATGGTAAGAAAATACTTTTAAATTATACTCATTGTATCACTGAAGCCCAGTTGCTTCCTTCAGTCCTTGAGGGAGTTGTAATTTCATCAGTGTAGGCATACTGCCTCTCCCAACCAGGAAGCTTCAAAGATGGTCTTGGAGATGTTCTGTAACTGAACAGCCCACCCTGGTGATGAGCCTCTCTCAGCTTAGCAAGGCTGGTCTGCAACAACAATTGTCTCTGCTTCTCTCCTGGAAGCCTTTCCAACTGGGTAGGACCTGCTAAAAACCTGTGTTCAACTGGTATAAGCCTTCAAAACCTGAGCATGTCTTCATGCACCATGGCATATTGGAACAGGGCATCAGCAGAGCTGGCACAGTTATTGTGCTTTATAATAAGTAGAGTAACTAGCTCAATGTCCCTACAATCACGAAGCAAAAAGTCTATTTAAAACCTAAGCTTCTTCTGGTATGCTGGTATTAAAAGTATGAACATCTGTGCTCAACCATTCACATTGATTCCAAGGATAAATGGCCTAGAACAGGATTTGGAGATCACCGTGATGCCTGACTAGGAAGATTGTGTCTTAGCCTTTTTCCTTCTGTTACTTAGAAGCTTTATATTGATACCAGTGTGGGCCACTTGACTACTGAGGAGGAAGAATGTGGACAAAATCAAAGATAAGAACAATGTTGGTCTGTCCTAAAGGATTCTTGGATATTTTTTCAGTGGCCTATGCACTTGCTTATAATTGGTGGAAGGCAAAATAGTGGAACATCTGCTATGAGCTTCACCTCTGCCCAGCCCATTAGCATAGCAATACCACTACTAGGTCTATTTCCAAAGATGAATGGGGGAAAAGGAAAAGAATCTTTGTTCTATATGTTCTAAAATGTTTATAGCAGCTCTCTTTGTGGTGTTAAAGAACTGGAACTTGCGGGGGTGCCCATCATTTGGGGAAGGGCTGCACAAGTTATGGTCTTTGATTGGCTTGACAATATGTTGTTTTATTTGAGTTGAACAATATAATAAGACAAATTTTGAGGAGCTAGAGTTCCTTTTAAAAAAATTTTTCTTACAATCTGAAAGAGAAAAGCAAAATTTTATATAGCAAAATGGTACTTTTCTTTAGTGGCAAGTACAGATGGAGACTTAATAAAAGTATGAAAATACTTTTAAAATATAAACACCCTCAAAAGGGATAATACATTAAAACATCAGTCATTTATACCTCAGTGTGAATGGGTTTATTTTATGCTTCCCAAACAACAGCTAGCTGGAAGCAGATTTCAGTGACCGTGAGGAAGGGAGGGGAGAGGGTGGAAGAGGACCAGAGTGTGGAGCTGTGTCTGAGGAAATAAGGCCTGGCTGTACTTAGTTGTGCTTTACAGTTTTATCTCAGACTCACCTTTGTGGGGAGGGGGAGGGGCTGGAAGGGCAAGAGAAAAGTGGTGAGGAGAGACATGAGATCAGGCCCGTGGCTGATGAAGTAGACTCTTGGCAGCCTAACCAAGTCAACATGACCTCCAAAAATACCTTCATTTAGAGGAGCAGGCCCAGCCACATTTTTTTGTCAACACAGTCTTACAAACGCCATCGTTATTTGTGTTTAATCAGGATGCACTTTTTCCTTTTCCTATTTGCTTTTTCCCTATTTACCATTGTACTGCCAGGACCCCAAGCAGTTATTATCCTGCATAGATTTCAGGTACATCACAGATGCCTTAACTGAAGAGGAAGCCTATGGTAAGTCATTTAGAAGATGCTGTTTGGCAGCATTTTTGTTGTATAAATAGAGTAGAACCACCCCTTGTTGTCTGAAAGGATGGGTAATTAGTGTTGTTATATTTTCAGAAATACTGAAGAAGGGGAGCATTGGCAGAAAGGAAAGAGGTATGTTGAGAGAAATTTTTCTTTCTTTTTCTTTCTTTTTTTTTTTAGCTTTTATTTAGTATTTTATTTTTCTCCAGTTACATGTAAGCTTTATTTTTCTAATGTTGTTAGTTGTCAGGGTAAACTTCTATGCCAAACAAGAATGTTGCCTGCCTTAGGGTATATTTTAGCGTACTGAATACCTCACTCACTTTTGCAATGTGGCCTTTAGGCAGAAGTCAGCATGAAAGGAATCTTGAATGTATTTTAGTCATAGGGGTAGGGTTTGGGCCTGTGGTTCCACTGGTATGGGAAACTCCCAAGTGAAGAAACTTCCTCTATTAATGCAGATAGCCACTTTCTTTGTGACTTGGAGTCTTAGAGAGTTGCTTAGAGTATTCTAAGGCCAGCTTTCCACCCTCTGTATCTCTCACTGTGTTGTATATATGTGCATATGTATGTGTCTACTTGTATCTACTTTGATCTATATTCCTTTCAGTCAGTTCCCAGCTTTGGGGTAAACCAAAATGAGATAGGACTGTCCTCCCTGAGGCAGTGGACATCTAGAAGACAACCTCGAGACCGGGGCTTCTTCACCTATGCTTATGTCCTGGGTTCCTTTGACAGTCTGGCGAAGGCTATGGACCTCTTCTCAGAATAGTGTTTTTAAGTGCACAAAATAAACTCTATAACTGAGGGAAATGCTAAATTTTAATTCGACATTAGTGGAAAAAAAAAGATATATTTTCTTTCCCCGTGCAAGTTCATAGATCCCCTGAAATGAGTCTTGGTTAAGAACCCCTGCTCTAGAAGATTCCAGGGAGTTGAAACATTGAAAAAAAGACTTAGTCATTCTGGTACCACCCTATTTACACTTTAGAAAGTAAGCTCTTTGAGGGTAGGAACTATCTTTTTTTTCTTTTTTGTATTCTTTGTGCTGAGTACAATGCCTCCCACATAGTAGGTGCTTACCAAATCATACCAGCCAAAATGGTAGTCTCTGGTTGCCAGGTAGGTAGCAGCTATGATCTGTTTAGGAAAAGATATTAATAGGGAATCCACATGTCCCTTAGCATGTGATTGGGGTTTAAATGAGTAGCACAAGGTAGGCCATAGGTATTTCTTTTTACCAGCAGACTTGCCCCCTGGGCAGTGTCAGAGACCCACTTGAAGAATTGTGTCTTTACAGAAGAACAGATGTTGGAATGTGGTTACCCTGCATATACTACTTCCTGTGCCTGGCTGGGTTACTCTGACCAGCAGTTAAAGCAGGTTTGTACTTTGGATACTTTATGAGGAAGAATTCCTAAAATCAGCTGCCTGGAAGATCTGTGATCATGGATTGGGAGCCCCAAAGGTCCTCATAGGTCATCTAGTCCAACCTCCTGCTTTTACAAGTGGAGAAAGTAAAGCCCAGGGAAGCTAAGTGATTTGCCTAAGATGTCACAGAGAGCAAGCATCAGAGGGGAGATATGAACTCAAATCCTCCGAAGCCAGAGCCAGTGAACCTTCTGCTGCCTAGATGTGGGCTGCTGACTTGTCCACTTAATCATTTTAGGGAGTCCATCTACTCTTGGCAAAATAATATACATGGAGGCCTGTCAAGTTGTATTGTACACATGGATTCTTATTTGAGGCTAGACAGCAGTGTACTCCCCACTATTAAAAATGTTTGGCCTTCAGGTCACGTCCACCCCTGCAGATCTGCATCTCTATCCTGTCTGTCAAGTATATGGCTGATGAAGGTAGATCTGAAAAGACTGAACATTTGGGATTTCATTTTCATGTATCATATATCTAATAGAGGTATATATGTTACAGAATCCCCTTCTATAAAAGAGAGGTATTAATGCATTTTTTCCCTTCTAAGAATGCTTTGATGGTTAATGGAATATGTCTCTTTGCTCCCCAGCTATGCAGTGAAGCGCTCGAGGAGGGCTGGACAAGGTATGTGGTTTCAGAGTAATATTTGACTTTACTCTCCACTAGTAGGGAGCACATGAAGTCCGTCAGAAGCCTGAGGACTGATAGTTAAAAATCAAGCGCGCTCCCCAAAACACTTCTACTGTTTTGGAATTAGGTAAGTGTGAGATAAACTCTCAGAAGGATTATCTCCAACAGGGATTTGAGCAACATCAAGTAAGAGCTTCCTAATCTCAGAAAGTGGAAGGGTGGTTAGAATCACAGACTCTTTTTAAGTTTTAGTGATGTTTTATTTTCACATTGCAAACTTTTCTAGGTTGTGTCCCACCCTGTGAGAGCTCTCTTATAACAGAATAAAACAGTTAAGCAAAACAGTTGCCTGCTCTGAAAGTGCATGCAGCATTCCATCCCTGTAGCCTCTCCAACCTCTCTTTTTAATTAACGAATATCTATTTACTCTTCTTCCCATTTCCCTAATCCACTGGAAAAATAAAAACAAGTTCTTTATAAAAATGTGCACAATGAAACAAAACAAATTCCCTCATAGACTATGATAACGTGTGTGCGCGCGCATGCGTGCAGGTAAGTGGCACAGTAGATAGAGTGCCAATCCTGGAATCAGGAAAACCTGAATTCAAATCTGGCCTCAGATACCTGAAAGCTGTGTGACCCTGGGCAAGTCACCTAAACCTATTTGTCCCAATTTCCTCATCTGTAAAAATGAGTTGGAGATGGAAATGGCAAACCACTCCAAGAAAACTCCAAATGGGGTCCTGAAGAGCCATATACAACCTAAACAACTGAACAACGTACGTGTGTGTGTCTGTGTGTGTAATCTTGTTCTGCATCCTAAATCCGTTGCTCCTTGGCAGGAGATGGGTAGAGAGCATATTTCAGCACTGGGCCTCTGGACTCACAGAAGGTCATTGTTGATCTTAATTTTTACAACTTTCAAAGCTGTTTATCTTTATAGTGTTGTTATTGTGTAAACTTCTGGTTCTATTCATTTTATTCTTCATTGGTTTTTAAAATTCTTCAAAATTATTCAGTAATCTTGATGTTACACTGTAATCTATTCTTCTGGCTTTTCTTCCTTCCCTTTGCATCAGCAGTTTGGCAGCTACTTCATTTTATTTGTGATATTGTGGTTTAGAGTACTCTCTCCAGTGGTGCAGTTCACGGCTCATCCATAGCTTCTCATCCTGTGCAGTTTTTGACCGGGGACTTGCCAAAAATCTGGTGTAGGGACTTTACTTCAGATACTTTGTCATTGATGACAAAGCTATGAGTGGAGAGTATGGGGGCTGCCTAATCAGTTATCTCACTCTGTTGCTACTTGACTCACACATCTCTCTGATGGATGAACTCCTTTATGCTGGTTCTTCCATGCAATTCTTCATGGGCAACGTCTTGCAGCCTACTCTCAGGCACTAGGTATCCTTCCGATCCCCGTGGGTAACCAGCCCCTTTAATTATTTTGTTTGTAGTATTCCATCATTTATCACTGCACACTATCACTGGAAAACTTTTTGTTATTAAAAAGATATGTATAAATTTCAGGAAGAAACTTGGGAGTCATCAAAATCTCTGTACAGTTTTTTCAGAGCAATGCAAATAACTCTTCTATTCAATTCTGGGTCTACTTCATTGTGCATCTGCACTGACTATCCACAACACACATACTAATGGACCAACTCTGTGGTCTGCTTGTCCAACTGCACATCATAGTCTGGACAATAGGCATTTTTCATTTGGTTGGTTTTTCCTGTGTGGATAATTAGGCTGAATTCTTGAATGACTCTCCCTAATGTAGAAGGCACTATTGTGTCCTAGAGCTTGACAGATTGAGGCAATGACATCTACCAAAGGGAGTATCTGAAAGACTTCACTGTCTACAGGCAGTTTTCTTATGATGGATACTCTAACCTCCAGGATAGTGATGAACACATGTGACTAGCATGTTTCCTGTTTGAACAAAATTATTTCTGTTTCATCTTTTAAAGAATCTTCTGCAATTTTGACATAGGCGTGAGAGATTACTGGTTAAAGAAGAGGCTTTTAATGAGGTGTTTTTACTTTATCAAATGAAATTTTTTTTTTAATAGTTAACAAATAGTAAATACAATGTGATCTTCTGTTTTCTATGCTTTTTGGTCAGTTGTATGACTGTAACAATGTAATCTACTGTGGAATATTATTTGCATAAACCTAGAATCCTGCTCTTTGCTGACCTTGGGTTCTGAGCAGCCTAGGCAGGCTAGCTTTTCTCTTCATGGCACTGAAGAGTGTCTTTACCTGGTTCCTTAAGGAAGGCTACAGCCCAGTCCTGAACTGGGTGAGAGGCTAAGCTTCCTGTCTTACCTTCAGCTGGCAGGACCCAGTGTTGCTGGAATCACAACTGACACTAGATGAGGTTCTAACCTGAGATCCTTTCTAAGCCTATTACCTGACAAGGCTGATGCCCTGGATCCTCCCAGCTGAGCAGAATGAAGCAGAGATCATTTCAGAAATTAGGGAAGTGGTCGTGCTAGGCCCCACCGTTACTGGATGTGGCGGTGCAGGGACCTCGTCTTTGGCCTACGGTCTTTTGACCTGAGAGCTAGAGCATGTAGATGGTGGCTACTGGTGAGTCATGAGTAGTTCCTACCCTGACTGGCAAAGGGTGAACTCCTGGCTTGATTTGAGAAGTAACCTGGCCAGTATGGAGATTTAAGCCTGCTACCATGCAGCCAGAAAGATCTACACTCTGAATGGCTCCAAGACCTGGATCACCAGTGCACCTGTTGCTGTTTGTGATTAGGGCTGTGTGTGAGGATGGTTTGGTAAGGAACTTCTGTTAGATGCCAGGATGTGTGGAATATCAGCTTCCCAGATTGAGGCCAGCTTTGCACTGTGAGACTTGGTCACAGGCATGGTCCTTGGTCCATGGTCATTGTGGAAGTGCCTAAACAGAAGACGTTGCCCCATATTTCTGGCCTTGCTGGACCATTTGGGTGTCTGAACATAGCTTGATTTATCTATTGCATCGGGATGGGGCCACTGGGTGCTGTAGGATTCTGTTTCCACACAACTCAGCAATGTACCCTATACATGAAGCAGTTCGGGGGTCCTCTTGGCTAGAAACTAGCTCATCAAGAAGAAATTGTCTAATATACTCACAGAGATCAGCCTGGGCCTACATGTCGGCCCACAGCTTGGGCACTTGAATAACCAGGCAAGGCCAGCCCTGAAATGATTTCTGTGATGGAAAGGAACAACTATGACAAAGCTCTGGATATCACCAGATAGGCCAGTGACGTGCTTGGCGGGAATGGGATTTCTGATGAGTATCGTGAGATCCAGTGTGCCGTGAACCTGGAGGCCACAAACACTCATGAAGCTGCTCATAACATCCGTACCTAATCCTTGTGTAAGCTCTCAAAAGTGTTCAGTCATTCACTGTTGAGAAGTAAGTCTATTTTATTCAAAGGCTGATGAGCATCATGTAGAGTGGTCATGGTATGTGTAACTAATTCTCCTGGCCCCCACTGCCTGGAGGGACGGGTCTGTTTTATTTTGCCCCTCCCCCAGGGTTCTTTGGTACCCTTTTATAGGGTGTGGAAGGTGTCCAGTCTTTCTGCCCCCTTGCCTCAAGCCCCCACCAATCGGTCTTCTTTCAGAAGCAGGTCCCTGGCATCTCCCATGTGGATGCCTTTATGTTGGGTGATCTGGACATGTGCAGAACAAAGCCCCTGTTACACATGATTTTAAAATGAATTCCTCAGGGAGTGTGAAGTCTTCTTTTATGGGAAGATGGCTGTAATTTTCCTTTCTGGAAGATGGAGATTGAGACTGAAGAAACTTATTTCTATAATCTGAATATTCCTTGTTCTAAAATTCTTCTGTTGAGATGCTGAAAGAAAGCAACCTTACAGACTATGCCAGTCCCTTATACTTAATTTTTTGTAACTTAGGAAATTCATTTTAAAAATCGGGGCAAAGGAAAGGAGAGTAAACTTCAAAGTAGCTTTGTGGAACTATTCAGTTGGTAACTGAGTAATATAAGTCCTCTTACCCAAACCTGTGCTTCCCAGCTTGCTAATACCTTCTGACCCTACTGATCACCTACTTATTTCCTTTTAGGTTTTTTTTTTTTTGTATGACACAGTGGGGATTAAGTGACTTGCCCGGGGTCACACAGCTAGTAAGTGTCAAGTGTCTGAGTCCAGATTTGCACTCGGGTCCTCCTGATTCCAAGGCTGGAGCTCTATCCACTGTACCGCCTAGCTGCCCCCACCTACTTATTTCCAAGATCATGCAGTATCCTGGACTTTGGAGCAAACTGAGAACAAGTGAATTAACAAAGACCACATGATACTAACCAAAAGGGGGGAAAAATAAACCTCTATGTAGCCTATTCATATCTTCATCAAGAGTTAGCTACCAAGAATTAAACACTTTGCTTATCAATATGGTTTAAAATAGCATCAGCTTTTTTGTTCACCTCTTCACACTGTTGTCTTATTTTGAGCTTGCAGTCCACTGAAACTGTCTACTCCTCACCTTCCAGTACTTGTCCAGTTTTTTTTTTTTAAGACAGATATAGGAGGTGACACTTTTTGCTATTTCATTTTAATTAGACTTGGCCTATCATTTTAGCCTGTCAGAATATTTTTGGATTCTGATTGTCATCCCTTTCTTTTAGCTTTCCCTTCCAGGATCAAGTCACCTGCAACTTGATAAGCATGTCATCTATACTTTCATCAGAGAGGTTGACAGAAAGGTCACTTCCTTCAAAGTGAACATTGACCTATTAATGACTACTTTTTGGGTCCAGCTATTCTACCAGTCCTGGTTCTACCTAACTTTCCCGTCATATCTGCCCATTTCTGTCCCTCTTGTCTTTAAATCTAGAATAAGTGACTTTGTCACTACTTGACTGAAATCTTAGTTTTATTATGTCCATAGCATTTCTCTGACCTATAATAATTAGGCCTTCTCTTGTAACTTTCAGAGAAAAGAAATGAGGTTAGTCTGACAGAGCCTATTTTAAAAATAATCAAAATTAAATTTTTTCAAACAGTAAAATTTTGATTTCTCTTCCCACCTCTCCCCATTCAAATCGAAAAAGAAAAACAAAACCCGTTACAAAGGGCATGTACTTTGTCCCTGGTTTTCTAAATCCACGTCTATCTTTATGCTGTTCCCTAAGCCCTCACTTTCTTTCCCTTGTTGAATTTCTACTCATGCTTTAAAGCCTGACATCAAGGCCATGACCAAGAAGGCTTATTGATTGCCCTCCCCAGTGATCACCTTTCCCTCTGGAATCTCACATGTCACTTATTTCCTTTGGGCCCTTTTCTCTTAAAAATGGAGGTTGGTTGACATGATCTCTACAGTCCTTTGCAGCTCTTAATCTTAAATGAACACAATACTACAAATGTAATTTGACCAACTCATAGTACAATAGGACTTGACCTCCCCTGATCAGGACTCTAAACATTTATTAACTATTGGCAGGTAGGTGGCACAGTGGATAGAGTGTTGGACGTGGAGTTAGGAAGTACTGAATTTGAATCCCACCTCAGATAGCTATGTGATGATGGGCAAGTCACTTAAACCTGTGCCTGACTCAGTTTCCTCACGGGTACAATGGTAATAATATTAGTACCTACCTCCAAGAGTCCTTGTGAGGATCAAATGAGATAATATTTGTAAAAATATTATATAAACCTTAAAAGCAATATGTAAATAATATTATTATTATTAACTCAGCCCAAGACTAGTTTTTTAATAAGATAGATAGATCACACTGTTGAACTGATATTGACCCTGTGATCATCTAAAATTTTCAAGTTTTTTTTTTATGAGTGTGTGGGTTGCTATCAATTTGCTTATCTCCTTAATTAAAATGTTAGTAAGAACTTAATAGGAAAACTTGGGAATTGTAACTAGTTAGTCTAGAAAAGTTTGAGAAGAGAGTTAGCAATGATCTTTAAGTATCCAGCAGATTACATCCTGAGACTGTTAAATAGCTATTCTCTGTTTACTGATAGAGGACACTGCAGACCAGTGAACCACAGGGGAAATCACAGTTACAGAAAGATAAGACTGCTGACAGTTAGATCTGAAAGGTGACTCCCTTTGAGCTCAGGGCACGTGAGGTGATAATATCAAGCTTTGTAAATAGTCACAGCTGCTAGTGTAGTTGGCCAAAAAGCAGTCTTTTCTTCTATCACATCATGGAAAAGATTGGTCAGTAATAGAAAATACAGTTTTGAGTATCATATACTAACATGGAGCTCAGACACAAGGGATAAAAGTAGATTCTGTCTTACAGACTGAAATAGAGAAATGCTGAGACCTGAGAGGTTGGGGAGACACCTCAGTTGGTGGCTCCACTTCGCTTCCTCTCACTTCTTAACTCGCTGCAACTGGCTTCCTTACACTGTTACTCAACTGAAGCCACTCTCTCCAAAGTTACCAATGATTTCTTAATTGCCAAATCTAATGTCCTCTTCTCTGTCCTCATTCTTTTTGATCTCTGATGCATTGACACTGTTGACCACCCTTTTCTCCTTGACGATCTCTCCATTATGGGTTTTTGTGACCCTGCTGTAATTAGGTTCTCCTCCTCCCTGCCTGACCTCTCCTTCTCACCCTCCTTTGCTCATCCATTATCCAAGTCATGCCCACCAACTGTGGGTGTATCCTAAGGCTCTGTTCTGGCTCCTTTTCTCTTTCCTTTCTACAGTGTCTCACTTGGTGACCTCATCACCTTCCATAGGTTCCACTACTATCTCTATGCCAATGATTCCTAGATCTATGTGTCTAGCTCTTGGCCACTCTCCTAAACTCTAGTCTCACATCAGCAGCTGTCTATTGGACATTTTTAAATGGTCTCATAGACATCTCAACCTCAACATGTCCAAACCAAATCATTATCTTTCCCCTAATACCTACTCTTCCAAATTTCATAATTACTGTTAAAGGCACCACCATACTTCCTGTTACCCAGATTTAAAACTTCATTGTCACCCTTAACTCTGCATTCTCACTCATCCCATATATCCAATCAATTATTGATTTCCTGTCTCTACAACATGTCATCTTTGGAATGCATACTTTTGTTTGTCCTGGGCTCTAATTACAGAACTTGTAGACTTCACTTATTTGTAAGCCCTTAAAAGTCAGATAGAGTGCTTTATAAACTTAAAAGTATTATATCAATATGACTTGTTAGTTTAGGTTACAGTTTAAATCATATGGCTGAAATAACATCCCTTCCAGTCTATCTAGTCTGTGAGTTACCGACAATTTTATTTCCTTTGTCAGTGCAGTAAATAAATGATGGTAGAACTAAAGATTCTATTTATCTAGTGTCTCCTTGGACCAGCCAGTAATTTGTAGCTCCTGCTACAGTTGGGACATACTTTACAATAGTCTTGTCAACACTAAGTGACTCATTTAAATGCTCTTGGAAAAGAACTGGAGGGTATTGAGAAACTGATATCTGTGAATTATTGGTAGATGTGTGATCATTTCTATAGAAAATTCTCCTGATTTTTGTCATGTTTTGTGGACAGATCTGAACCTCAAAACCAAATGTGTCTTTTAGGTTTAAAGTAAAAGTTGGTGCTGATCTTGAAGATGATATTCGTAGATGCAGAATTATAAGAGACATGATTGGGCCTGAAAAGATTATGGTAAATAGCTTCTTAAATATACATGTATTTTAAACATACAGCTTTGAAGAAAGATATATTCACTTACCTGAAGAACAACCAGTATTGTGAATTGGGGTTTTAAGGTAAGGTTAATAAGCAGTTTCAAAGAAATTGGAGGTGTGAGACTGGCAGTAGATAGATAAACAAATAATAAGAGTATATAAATCTATATGTAGAATCTGTAAAGAGAATTTATAGGCTTATATATTATATAAGGATGCAAGTAAAATATAATACTAAAGTCTCTAATTCTTTGTCTCACTCCATCTTAATACTAGTTAGCACTGCCTCAGTCAAACTGAGACCTGTTAAAGACCTTAGCTTAAAAAAAGCCAAGGTCTCCTACTGCATCCTGGGCCATCTCCAGTCGTCCTGATGAATATCTGGCCACTCGACCCAGATGGCTCAATTCCACCTTCCTAACATTTGAAACTACCAGCTTCCTGGTTGGTGTGTAACAATGAGCCAGTGTCAAGCAAAGAATATTAAAGGACGCTGGCTGAGATGACAAGGGTTTTTCCCTTGTATGCTTTGATTATATAGCATATCTATGGAATGTTTTTTAGAAAATGGATGAAGTCACTGAGATTTTTTTCCCCACAATATTTTAAAGGCCAGCTACATGGTTCAGATTGGCTGTTTGGTACTGGTGTTTTTATATATATTTGGGGTCCATATGTGTGATTTTATTGGTGTGGAGAACTTTCAGAATGGAAATTTCCTCCACCAGTCTAGTCAGTAACTCATCTGTAACCTATAGTTTTAGAGAGCTGCCAGAGATATTGAGAAAATTAAATGACTTGCCCACGATAAGAAATATGAGTAGGCATCCCAAGGCACAACCAGTTCCTCTTGACTTCAAAGCCAGCTTTGTATCCACTTTGTGACTATATCAGTAAGAGTATGAGATAAGAAAATACCATCACCCTATATTATCACCGTATGTTAAATTTATAACATATAATACAATATACAATAATTTATAATATTTAATAATTAGTGAAGCTTAGAACTGCGTTAAGACTTTTGGGATGCCCTGCATATGTCTTTCTGGCCTCATTATCATACAGGATCCCAAATAATTTTTATGTTATTCTGAGAATTATAAACACTAAAATTTCATGAACTGCTAAATATCAGCTCTATAGAAGAGTTCAGTACAGCAAAAGATGGTGTCTATAGCATGTTAACTGCAAATGGAATAGGGACTTTTAAAGGCAATGTTCAAATTAGAAATTAACCAGAGGGGCAGGTAAGTGGTGCAGTGGATAGAACACCAGCCCTGGAGTCAGGAGGACCTGAGTTCAAATCTAGCCTCAGACACTTGACACTTAGTAACTATGTGACCCTGGGCAAGTCACTTAACCCTGATTGCCTCACCAAAAATAAAAGAAATTGGCCAGAACACCAGGTCTGGCTAAAGACCTCATATGGGAAGTGTCCTGAGCTCTTCCAAAGATCACACATCATTTAGATATCCAGTTCACATCTCTTCTAAAAGACATGGCAAAAACTGACTGAGAAAGCTCTTAGTCTCTTAGCTTCTCTTATTATACCTGCATGTTGTGCTCCATAGATAAGTAATGCTTCCCATCATTCATTTGGAGACTCTCCTTAGGCAGTCAGTTCAGTCATGTTCAGCAGGTTCTGAACCATCAGCCCTCCTTTCCTTTTGTGTCTCAGCTTAGGAATACAGTTAGCATGTAGCTGTGTGTGTTTCAAAGTTTAGATTCTAAACACCTGGACAAATGTAGAATGATGAATGGGATTTCTCATTCCCTTTAGATGGTGGATGCCAACCAGCGATGGGATGTGCCAGAAGCAGTGGAGTGGATGTTAAAGTTGGCCGAATTTAAGCCACTGTGGATTGAGGAGCCAACTTCCCCTGATGATATTCTTGGACATGCCACCATCTCTAAGGTAGGAGAGTTGTGTCTCTTTCTTCTTCAAGAGGTGTTCATTACAGATATCGAAATTCTTTTGTTTTTTTACTTTTCCTGATGAAGAATTAAAAGAAGTAACTTGTGTCAATGACTAGGTTTGAAGAATTCACATCCTTTTATTCTCTTAAGCCTCTGTTTCATAGCTTTCTTTGAGTTCACATCCTCCCCTCAGATACTTAGTAGCTTTGTAATGCTGGGCAAGTCACTTAACCTCTCTAGCCTCAGTTTCCTTATCTATAAAATGAAGGAATTGGATTCAAGGACCTCTGAGGCCCCTTCTAGCTCTAAAACTTAGGATTCTATGACTTATTATTTTTTTTTAAGGCAGTTGGGGTTAAGTGACTTGCCCAGGCTCACACAGCTAGTAAGTGTCAAGTGTTTGGTCTGAGGTCGAATTTGAACTCAGGTCCTCCTGACTTCAGTGAGGCTGGTGCTCTATACATAGCGCCACCTAGCTGCCCCTCTATGACATTTTTTAAGAAATGACTAAAATTTTTCCAGAGATTAACGACAACAAATCTTATACTGTATAATTATGGAAATGCTAACTGTGGTTTATTTTATTCACCCAGGCATGAGAAAATGTGGAATATCATAATGGGACTGAGAAGTATTTGAGGTGCCCCAATTTAGGAATAGGGACAGCCAGGTGGCACAGTGGATAGAGTACTGGGCCTGGAGTCAGGAATACTTACCTTCCTGAGTTCGGTTCTAGCCTTAGATACTTGACTAAATGTATGACCCTGGGCAAGTCACTTAACATTGTTTGCCCCAGTTTCTTCATCTGTAAAATGAGCTGGAGAAGGAAATGGCAAACCATTTTAGTGTCTTTGCCAAGAAAACCCCAAATGGAGTCCTAAAGAAAAGACTAAGCAATCTAAGAATATCTTTCTATTCTGTAATTTAGTTAAGTATTACTAAGTGCCCAGCACTGAGTTATGTTTACAGGATGATAACTCTCAAAAATCTTATGATCTAACTGGTTTAGCAAAACTTGCATGCATGAGATTATTAGAGACAATCAAGAAAAACAAGAATTTATTAAGCATCTATCACTTAACTATTGTGTGTTAGGTGCTAGGGATTTGAAGACAAGATATGAAACAGTCTCTGATCTCAGTGAGCTTTCATTCTCTTGGACATAATTTGTACAATTATAAGTGTATGTCACAAGGTTTCCGGGTTGACTACCCCATATGTGGACTAGGTAGAGTGGTCACCCCACTCTTTAACTGCTATATATTCTTTGTTCATTCTGATTCCAGGGTTATAAGGTAATTAAGGGGATATGTCCAGATACTTGTTAACTAATTGCTAAAAGTGCAACATCTCTCTCAGTCAAATAATTCTGAGCCCCCAACATAGTTTATTAAACATTATTTATTAAATAAACTGGAGAAACCTTTTCTCATAAGCTTTTGTTCCTCTCTATATATTAACCCCCCTAATCTCTTAGGTTTAAATAAAGGTCAAGGTTTTTGGTTACATAATTTGCTAACAGTGGAACAAACAACAGAAGACATAATTATTTCTAATACATCAGCTATGAAAAGATCACAGCCAGAGTCACCTTTAGTCATTACTAATAACTGCTGACTTTTCGCTTCTGAAAACAAAGATCTGCTATTCTGTGCCCTCAGACTGTCAGTATTTTCTTCACTAATTCTCCTTGTAATTTTTCTGCAACATAAGACTTAAAACTCTCAGGAAAGTTCATTTAGATTTTTTTTTTTCCTCCTTGTCCTTTCAAAGTGTCTTTGCAGCCATCACAGTTAAAATTCTCTCCAGAATGACAGTTAAACTGCCAATCTTTCAAGATTCTACTCCCTTTACAAAAGTATTTACAGTAGGGGCAGCGGGGTGGGGCAATAGATAGAGCACCAGCCCTGGAGTCAGAGTTCAAATCCAGCCTCAGACACTTGACACTAGCTGTGTGAGCCTGGGCAAGTCACTTAACCCCGATTGCCTCAATGATAAATAAATAAATATTTACAGCAGCTCTTTTTGTGGTGGGTAAGAATTGGAAATTGAAGGGATGCCCGTCAGTTGGAATGGTGGTATATGATTGTAATGGAATATTATTGCGCTCTAAGAAATGGCAAGGAGAATTATTTCAGAAAAACCTGAAAGACTTATATTTGTTTATGTGTAGTAAAGTGAACAGAACCAGGAGAGCATTGTACATAGTAACAACAATATTGTTTGATAAAGAACTGTGAATAACTTAGCTATTCTCAGCGATGGAATGATCCAAGACAGTCCCAGAGGGTTGAAGCATACTGTCTGCCTCCAGAGAAAGAACTGATTGTTTGAATACAGACTGAAACATGCTATTCTTTACTTTCTTTCCTTTTTTTTCAAGTCTTGTACAAAATGACTAATAAAGAAATGTTTTATATAAAAAATATAATAATAGTATCCATCATCTATGTGGGAGAGGCCATTGAACCTATTGTTATATACAGAATAAATACTAAATAAATACAAGATAGTTGGGGAGAATGGGCACTAAGCATTGAGTGGATCAGGAAAAGCTTTATGTCGAATTGAGTCTTGAAGAGATTCTAGTGAAAGAGAGATTCTGCGAGGCAGAAGTGAAAAACAGGAATATATGCTAGGCCAGTACAAGGGCAGAGTCAGGAGATGGGATGCCAGGTGTGAAACACAGAGAAGCAGCTAGTTTAGCTAGACCATAGAGTTTAGGAAGAAGAGAAATGTATAATGAGGCTAGAAAGGTAGGTTGGGACCAGTGCTTTAAAAACTGAGGTAGTTACATTTTAGGGGAATACAACATAATCAGATCTATACATAAGGAAGATAATTTTTTGGAAGCTGTGGAAGGTGGACTGAGTGAGGAATGACTTGAGCCAAAGAAGCCAAATAAGATGCCAGAACACTAGTAAGGGCAAGAGACAATGAGGCCCTGAATTAAGGTGATGATTCCCTGTCAGTAGAGATAAAGGATTGGATATAAGAGATGTGTACAATTAGAAATGGCAATTAATCAAATACGTTGGGTTGAGGGAAATTGAAGAGTAATGCCAAAGTTACAAACCAGGAAGGCTGGAAGAATGGTGGTGCCTTCGACAGAAATAGGAAAGTGTAGTAGAGAAGGGTGGGTATTATGGTTGGGTAATGATATGTGCTTTGAACATATTGAGTTTGAGGTGTCTATGAGACATCTAGTTGGAAATATCCAAAATGTCAGTTGGTAATACAGGACTATGGCTGGGGAGATTATGTATAATATATAATGAATCATCTACAGAGAACTAATAATTGAACCCAGGAGAGCTGATGAGTGAAAGGATAAAGAAGTTGGAGAATTGTCAGAAGGGGTAACAGGCAGAGTTAGGTGGCACATTGGATAGAGTGCTGGGCCTGGAGTCAGGAAGACCAGTTCAAATCCAGCCTTAGACACTTACTAGCAGCGTGACTCTGGGCAAGTCACTTAAGGAAATGGAGGCATTTAAGTGATTATCTGTAAAATGAGCTGGAAAAGGAATGGTAAAGCTCTCCAGTATCTCTACCAAGAAAATCCCAAACGGGGTCATGAAAGAGTCAGATACAATTGAACAAGAATGACAGAAGGGGTAACATGTAACATGACTGGGATTTTTTTTTTAAGGTAAGGAAAATTGATATGTTTGAAGGCCAAAGTGAAGGAGCCCATGAATAGATAGGGCAAGACTGAAGAGTCCCAAAATTGTAGAGATAAGGTTCCAAAGAAGGTGGGAAGGACTGGAATCCAGAGTATATGTATAAGCCTCAAAAGAAAGGAAAGTTGTTGGAACGGTGAGATGTGAAGATCAAGAGAAGGTACCTGAGAAAAGTTCTGTTAACCTCACTTTTGTCCATAGAGCAGGAAGTTATCATTTGCTGACTGCAGATGGGGGAAGGATTTAAGGTTCTAAGGGAAGAAAGTTTTGAGTAAACATTATATTGTGTTAGAGAGACAATGAAAGATGAGTAAAAGCATTGACAGGTACCAACAAAGGCCAGGTTGAAGTGAGGTATTCAGTAATGAGGCAGAGCTGCACTGATTGTATTGTCTTCAGGTCATGCCCTGTGACCCGGGAGCAGGAAGAGAAAATGAAGTAGGGAATGAACTAGTTGGTGAGATTGGTGGGACAAACAGGTTGCTGAGCCTCTGGGAGCCAGACCTGCCCAGGTTAGCACTATTCCGGTTAGAGTCCAGCATAGCCTTGGGTAGCCTGGCTTCGGGCATGAGGGGGACTGTTGTTAATGTTGCTAACGACAGGTATGCCTCTGCCTGTATACATTGTTGCTTCATGTTCATATATGCACAATATGCACAAGCATATTTGTTTGTCCTCCCCCCCCCATTAGATTGTAAGAGGACGACTGTCTTTTGCCTCCATGTATCACCCGTACTTAGCACAGTGCCTGGCACATGGTAGACACTTACTAAATATTTTTTGATGGATTTATTAGTATTTCCCTTAACATTCTTTAACTGCATTCAGTTTATAGTATTCAAACAAAAATGTTCCCTTCAGCTATAAATATTTTTAAACATTCAAAATTACAGTTTAGAAACTTAGGAAAATTACACCTCATTTTACGTGTCTTTTTTTTTAGGCCTTAGCCCCATTAGGAATTGGTGTTGCAACAGGAGAACAGGTAAGTGCTCAGCACTGCATCCCTGCCAACAGTTCTTGACCATCTGTTGATGGCGTCCTGCTGTAATATCCTCTGAAGGGGTTGTCATGTTTTAGAAATTTTTAGAAATTTCTATAACATTTAGAAATTAAATCATTTTGGAACCACTATGGAGGTTGATTTAGCACCTGGCATAGAGCCGGTGATGAATAAATGTTTATTGACTGAAGTAAAATGTCAGAAATGTGTATATCACCACAATTCAGATGACTAAGTGTATATTTTTCTTTTCCTACACATCTAATCCCTACCAAAAAAAAAAAAAAAAACCAATGATTTTGAGCTGTTGCTGCAAGCTGATAAATTTGCATTTTATCATTTTAAGGAAGCCAGCTTCTGAATTAAACCAATATTGTAAATTTATGTTCTTTTTCTGGGCTTATAAATTAAATATATCTGCCTGCCAAAATCTGCCAAAAAGAGCCGACTAAGAAGGAAGTCATGGAAGTTCAGAGCGAGGCCAGGGCCAGGAAGATGAATCTTGACTAAGGGAGCAGATTCCCTGCCCTCCCCCACAAAAGGCAACTTAATAATGCCTTATCCAGGTCACTTGTGGATCCTGTGCTGTCTGTAGCTCAGGGCTTTCTTTCGTCATAATTCATTTTGATGCTTTACTTTATCTCTGACCTGCCAATATCCATGATACGTAGGTATTTCTTAATGAAAGGAGGATTGGTGTGTCTCTCTGACAGTGCCAGCCTATTCACTGGCTGAGAAAATTTTTGTAAGGTGGAGCACAGCCCCCACCAGCACCTTCAGCCAAGTGATCACCAAAGAAAAATCCAGTCCAGGTCTCACAAAGGAGCAGGGTGTCTGGAATAATGATCTTCTAACTCCAAATTGCCTTGTTGCCATTTACAAAGATTTTGAAGGTTAAGGCAAAGGCTGACTTTTTGTTGGCTTTTATTTTTAATTCTATCTCCAGTGCCACAATAGAGTGATATTTAAACAGCTGCTACAGGCTGACGCCCTACAGTTTCTCCAGATTGACAGCTGCAGACTGGGAAGTGTCAATGAAAATCTCTCTGTGTTACTGATGGCCAAAAAATTTCAAAGTAAGGGTTTGGGAGAAGTTGAAAATCAACCAATCATTTTTACTCCCGAGTAGAAAAAGTTAATAGTTAACCTTGTGATTCCTTCCACTATCCCTATTTTTAATTCATATGTGAGTGCTGGCCCTATGATGTACATATCTGCTGGGTTTTTTTTTGTTTGTTTTGAGTGAGGCAGTTAGGGTTAAATGACTTGCCCAGTTAGGAAATATGCGTCTGAGGCCAGATTTGAACTTGGGTACTCCTGAGTCCAGGGTCAGTGCTCTATCTAGTGTGCCACCTAGCTGCCCCTGTGTCTGCTGTATGAAGACTAGTTTGACCATAAGTGATGAATTTATTGGCCACGGAAGCTTTGGAAGTCCATCTGTTAAATTATAGGCATTGTCATCTGCAATGGGGAAAGGACCACTCAGTAAAATTACAGATCCCCAAAGGATGAAAGTGAGTGTATTTTTCTATTTTGATTTTTGGTGCCACACAACCTTTAATCGGAAGTATCTGTCTCGTTAGTCCTGGGGTTTCTTTTTCCCAAATACTAATGAGTATTAATACTAACATCCACACCCGATCAAAAATTGCAAGTTCATCTTCTAACTTCCATACTTTTAACATTTTATTGGGATTTACCTCTTTCACTTTATCTGATTTGATACTCTTCACATTAAATTGGGATTTATCTGATTTCCTTTCAGTTCCTGTTTGCCCCCATGCTGGAGGAGTTGGCCTTTGTGAGTTGGTACAGCATTTAATAATATTTGATTATATTTCAATATCTGGAAGCCTTGAAAACAGGTAAGTAATGTACTCTTTTAAAAATTTAATTAATTTTTTTATTTTTAGTTTTCAGCATTCACTTCCATAAGATTTTACGTTTATAAATTTTCTTCCCCCCTCCCCAAGATGGCATGCAATTTGATATAGGATCTACTTATACATTCGTATTAAATATATTTTCACATTAGTCATGATCTAAAGAAGAATTAGAACTAATGGGGGGAACCACAAGAATAAACAAAACAAAACCACAAAAGAAAAGGAGAGCAAATAGGATGCTTTGATCTGCATTCAGACTCCAAAGTTCTTTTTCTGGATGTGGATAGCATTTTCCAGCATGAGACTTTTAGAGTTGTCTTAGATCCTTGCATTGCTGAGAAGAGCTAAGTCTATCAGAGTTCAGTAATGTACTCTTGAGAATCATAGAAATTTAATTCTGGAAGGGACCTTAAATAATCTTAGTTAATACTGATTTCTACTTACCTAGTATCTCCAACCAGGTAAGCACGTTTTCTTCTCCAGATTTTTTAGATTCAGCTGTGGTGACAGTGTTTAACTCTTAATCCATGTCTAGTTATGAATGAATGAAGGAAGGAACGAACAAAAAAAGAGTTTAGTGTTTATTGTGTGCAAAGTGCTGGGGATACAGAGAGAAAAACAAGACAAATAGCTACTGTCTAGGAGCTCATATTCTAACAGAGAAAGATCACACACATAGGAGATTTCTCCTACAAGTCCAATAGAAGAGCTCAGTGGTCCACTGTGTGCATCCAACAACCTTTCCACTGATAAAATCATATCCATTTCTGATGTTGAACCATTTAACAGTGGAAGGACTTTGGTTTGGAGAAATTTTTTCCTGAGTCTTCAGTAGCAATGGTTACCAAGGAGGTGGAAGCTGCAGTACCTATAGAATCGGGTGCCGCTTGAGTCACCCAACAGTTGTTACCTTTGATGATGTTTTCAGGGACCGTGCTGAAATCAGGACTTGTGATCTGAGAGTTGCTGCTAGTCCTGAGGCTCTTGAACTGATCCTGCCTATGCATGGTTGTTGGTCTTAAATTAAAGGCTACATTGGTTCTCATTCCTCACAAAATCAGTAGCGACAGCATTCATATTTTTTAAGGTTTACAGAGTGCTTTCCTCACATCACTGTGAGGTAGGTAGTGCAAATATTATCTTCATTTTATAGATGAGGAAACTGAAGATTAGACACAGTAAATGAACTTGCCTATGCTAAGCACCAGAACCAAGATTTTAGCATGGTCTCCTGATTCCCAAGACCTAGTGCTCTTTCTACTATACCGTGTAGGCTGTCTAAATTATTGAATCTTAGAGTTAAAGGACTTAAGAACTTAAGAACTAAACTGATCCCATCCCTTTGTGTAACTGGAATCTTCTCTAAAACATGCTCTACAGAAGGTTGGTTAAGTATCCTCTTAAAAGCCTACATACAATGGAGACCTCACATTTCTCAAAGTTTTGAAGTGCCAGGCCAGACAATCAGAAGCCATGTACCCAGCATTGCTAACTGATAAACCTTGTCATTGTCAGCTGCTGCACAAGCTTGGCTTTTTTATATTGAACCAAAATTGATCTCCTGTAACTTCTACCTATTAGTTCCTTTAGGGCCAAACTGAATAAATCTAATTCTTCCCTAGAGACAGGTCTCTATTTAGCCAGGGAGAATGAGAGTATGGATTCATCAATGAATGGAGCTCTCCCCATTTGTGTTGGAGGTATGCAACGTCATAGATCATATGCCTAGAACTTATAGGAACCTCAAAGGCCACATAGGCCATACCCCTCATTTTACAGTTGAGGAAGTAAAGAGGTTAAATGACTTACTCAAGTTTGCATAGGTAGTAAAGGGGAGAGCAAGATAGTGTAGTTAGTACATAGAGTGTTGGACTTGAGTTAGGAAAATGAATTCAAATCCTGCTTTAAACACTCACTAGCTATGTGACCCTGGGCAACTCATCGAACCTTTAAGCCTCAGTTTCCTTATCAGGTTAATAATAGCAGTGGGGTTATTGTGAGAAAGTAATGAGATGATATCTGAAGTACTTCGTGAGCCTTAAAAGGCTCTTAAATGCTAATTATTATTAATGCTTATAGAATCCTAGAACTCAGAGTTCTAAGGGACCTTTGAATACTCGTTTCACAGATGTTCAAACTAAGGTCCAGAGAAATTAAGGTGTCTAAGTGACAGAGCCAGAACTTCAAATTGGAGCTCTTTCCATTCTAACAAACTACCTTTCATGGACAGTTTGCTTTTCAAAGGGGTTTATTGTAATCTAGAGGTCCTTTCTGTGGAATTTCAAGGTCCCTTTGAGAAATATGCTGTGCTCGAGCTGGTTACCCATTAATAGTGGTGACCTAAGCACTGCTGTTGGTGGTTAGGGCAACTAATAGTTGATTAAGTGGGTTTGAAACAAGACTACTACTTGAAACACTGAAACATTACTATCATTAAATTTCCTAAATTATTTGTCTTCCACTAGGCCTCAATCCGTCTCACTCTAACTCCTTCCAGGAACTGAAGGTGGGGAAGGGATAAGCTCCCATATGTATTGACATCCTGCTGCTTGAGGGTGCTGTCTCAGGCTAGTATAGAAAGACTCCCCCACCCCCAAAACTACCAATGGACCAGAAGGGAACCTCCAGTGGTCCTCAGGAAATTCTAATCCAGGTCCTTTGCCTCCTGGGAAGCACACACAGTACCCAATGCTCCTTGTTGGACCATACTTTGAAAAAAATCTAAAAGCATTTTCAAAGAACATCAAACATCATTCTGAGTAGTGTGGCATGTTGTTCTTTCCTCTTAGGAAATTAACAGCATTGGCTTTACCTAATTTATGCACTAATATCCCAATTTACCTTTTTCTCCTAGGATGTGTGAATATGTAGATCATCTGCACGAACACTTCAAGTATCCTGTAGTAATCAAAAAAGCCTCTTACATGCCTCCTAAGGTAGGCTGAGGACAGTTAAAGTGTTTTTAAGATATCACTAGTGGTCTAAATGGATTCTCTTAACTCTGTCTTACATATTTAACAGTACCTACCCTAGCCCCCATTACCTGAAGACCTGGACGTTAAGACCTCACCCATCCTCCAGGGTTCTCTGGGCTTGAGGGTGTCTCATCTCTGCCAGTAGCTCAAGCCCCCACCAGTTGTGTTCTCTCAACTGTTGGGAGTCCACTGCATCCCAGTTCCATTTAATCACTTAAGTCATATTAGCTTTAACTGAAGAATATTTACTTCAAAGGTATAATAAAGACAAATATACAAATATCTCCCCTGCAAACGTTGGGGTGGGGGGAATAGCGTAATCCACCACTATACCACTGCAGTCTCTGGGGATGGAATTTACCTCATTTCCTATGTAGCACAAGCCCACCAAGTTCAAAGTCCAAAACCTGACTTGGACTTGAGTCCCAAGTACCCAGGCTCCCATGATAGGCAGGCAGCAACATTTGGCCTGGAATCCTGCCTCCATGGTCATTATGGCTCAAGCTCTCTGGCCACCAGAGGAGACTCCACCACCTGTGCCTAAAAGAGGATAAATGAAACAACCGAACCCCAAGCCAGATTCTTGGGGCCGAAGGGCCTAAAAGGGAGAGGGAGAGAATACAGCCCTTCATCCCACCCAGCTCAGTTCGTGGAACTTGTGCTGTAGGTGAACAGGACCTTCAACCCCTTGGATGCTGCTGGAAAGAGACTGAGTCTAGTAGTTTGAAAGATGCAACCAGTAGAGTCTGTTCCCACCCATGTGGTGGGGAAGTGTAGAATGTCCTCTCTCAAAAGCAGGTTCCTTGTATCTCCTACATAGGTGACCTGTGCGTGCACCAAAACCCCATTACATGTATAGTTGCTTGAGGTGGGAGAGTGGGGGATGAGCAACCTATAATTTCACTGGTATGGGGTATGTCTTCACTAATGCAGATCTATAACTGTTGGGTAAGTTGTCTTTTTATTGACTTGCCGCAGACACCAGGAAGTTAAGTGACTGGCTCCAGTCACAGCCAGAATGTATCAGAGGCAACACTTGAATCCAGATTTTCCTATATCAAGGAACCAGCTCTTTTGTCTATTACACCATGCTACTTTTCCTGTGTGGAATTATATGAATTAAGTGGCTTGTAACCCGAGTTAAAACTGAAAAAGAGCCAATTAGGAGACTTGTAGATAAATAGATAGGTAATTCAGATTGGATAAAGGATTTTTCATTTCATCCCTCAGGTGACAGGTAAAATTTTAAGTAGTCCCACTTGACCCAGTTTCCAGGCATGTACTCAGCTTTATTATTTTGCTGGCTTGCTCAATTCCTTAAAAAATAGTAAAACTAAAACATCAGGACTCCACCCCCCAAGGTATCTTCAACCTCTATAACCAAGAGACTGAATTGTTCTTTATTCATAAATGTATCAAAAACATAATTTCTAGGGGTCAGAATATAGAAATCAGATGCTGTCTTTTGTAAGGTTTCTCTTGCGCGTATATGTTTACAGTAGGCTGCTAGATGGTACAATGGACATAGAACAGGGCTTGGAATCAGGGATACCTGAGTTCAAATGTTCCCTTAGTCACTACAGTATGACCCTGGGCAAGTCACTCAACCTATGCCTGTTTCTTCTATAAAATGGGGATAATAATAGCACCTACCTCCTAGGGTTTTTGTGAGGATCAAATGAGATACTTGTTAAGGTACTTTGCAAGCCAGTGCTACATAGATGCTAGCTATATCATTATTAAAATCTTCAGGACTGAGACTTAGTAGTGAGCTGCAGCTTTACCAAACAGAAATGATTACCATGGCTTCAGGACTTCCTTGAAACAGGCTTCTCATGAAAGCACTTTAGAGGTCATTTCCGTTTTAGTAGTTGGAGGTGAATAGCATAGTCATCAGTCAGAAAGCTTTTAAAGGACTGATGATTTCAGCTTCCCAAGAATTTCATACTTGGAAGAGGAAAAGCTCAGAAGTTTATGCCACTGTTCTCTTGCCCATCTATGTTCATTGCAGGGAGGTATCTAGGTGGTACAGTGCTTAAGAGCCCTGAACTTGAGAGGCAGCGAGATGAGTTAAAATCCTGCCTCAGATACTTACCAGTTGTGTGACTTGATTCAAATAATAATCATAATAATAACTCACGTTTATATAGCACTTTAAGGTTTGCAAAGTGCCATACATATTTTCTCATCACCTAAACTATCAACCTCAGTTTACTCATGTGTTATTGTTCAATCGTTTTAGTTGTGTCTGATTTTGTGACCCCATTTGGGGTTTTCTTGGCAGAGATGCTGGAGTGGTTTGTCATTTCTTTCTCCAGCTCATTGTACAGATGAGGAAACTGAGGCAAACAGGGTGAAGTGACTTGCTCAGGGTCACACAGCTAGTAAGTGTCTGAGGCCAGATCTGAATTCAGGAAGTTGAGTTTTCCTGACTCCAGGCCCGGCCCTCTATCCACTGTACCACCTAGCTGCCCACTTACTCATCTATACAGCAAGGATAACGATAGCATCTACTTCAAACAGTTGTTGTGAGGATCAAATGAGATAATATTTGTAACTAAACATTAGCTATTGTTGTCATTCAATTAAGTAATTGCCTTTGTAGGCATAACTGTAAGGTCCACGAAGAGTAGGAAGTTTTCCCAAGTTTATCCGTTTGTTCTCATGATATACAGCCTTGTTTAAAGTCTTGGAAGTTGACAAATAAATTCGATTTAAAGCATCTGGGGTCTGATCATTAAAACAGCTGAATTGCCTTACAGTTGGGTTTTCATTAAAAAGAGGTCAAAGCAACTCTGTTTCTGAGAGTAGCCAGTATCACACTGGGCAAAGAAGGCTGAGATATCACTTCTTAATTAATGTATTTTTTTTTTATTATTATTAAGGATGCCGGCTATTCCACAGAAATGAAGGAAGAGTCTGTAAAGAAGCACCAGTTTCCAGAGGGTGAAGTTTGGCAGAAGCTCATGGCTACTCAGCAAAATTAAGTTTTTAGCCTAACTATGGCTTTTCCCCCTAGTACAGATGAATTTTTAATGAGGGAGAGGGGAGGGAAGCTTGTCTGATTTGATATATCAAAATAGCAATTCTCCAAATCACCACCAAGATTTAACCATTCAGATAAATGTCTCAGGTATCATTCTCAGTGATCTGAGCCATATTCTTTGATTATTTTCTTAAAGAGGAAGTAGATTATCACGTATGCTAATGTTTCCATGTAGTATTGGCACTTAAATGTTAAACAGTATTTTAAGAAATGTTATTTTGTCAGAACATTTCTGCTATTCTTTGCTGTTTCTACAAATGTATCAAAGAAAACAAAAAAAAGACAAGCCCTGAAATATATTCCTGGTATGGTATTTGATATAGAAGCAAGGGCAAGACAAGAACACTGAGATTTCAGAGGCGTTTTTGAGCAGCTCCTCCTGGTCTCTACTGTTTATTAGAAAACGCAAGTGAGGGAAAGCTAGTCCCCTTTCCTTCTTTTAACATGTATCTTCCCAAGAATTGACTGTGTGCCATGGGACTTAAAAGAAAGTGACACTATCTCCTAAGTGACATCTCTATCTGAATGGGTAAATCAGCCAGGTCTAAATGGAAAGATTCATTACAATTCCCTAATTAAACCATAACAAGGAAGCTTGGGAAATGATGGGAAATTTCCACAATTGTGTTCCAATATTGATTGCTTGAATTTTATGCTAAGAAAAATGCCAACATGTTTTAAAACGTCTTGTATGGATAAAAGGTCAAGTAAATCTTATGACATTTATTCAGTAGTCCATAAATATACACTAACTCTACAAATATAAATCTAAATATATATACATCAATCAAATATAAATATTTCTGTAACACTAACTATACAAATAATGGTGGAGGTGTGTTTAAGGGTAATGAAATGATTCAGAATTAGAAAATTTTAGAGGTACAAGAAGTCCTATAGGTCCAATCTAATGCCCTCATTTTACAAATGAGGAAATCAAGGCAGAGTAGTGAAGTGACTGGTCCAAAGTTGGATAACTACTTAGGGGGAGGCAAAACCAAGAACCTAGGGTCCTGACTTGCTGTCCAGTACAGTACACACACACCCTCAGTAGATGAAAGAGAATAGAAGTGGCGATGGCTCGGTCCTGTGAAGAGAATGTACTGCCAGGCCTGAGTGCTGGGTGAGGCCCTGGGTGTGACTTGAGATGCTGAGACTACAAAGACAAAGATTAACCTTGCCCTCAAGGTGCTTCTGTACTTTGAGGGAAGAGGACAGGGATCAGCCTGTGCAGGCAACTTGAGACGGCTGAGAATTATCAAAGAAAGTGAGCGTAGGGCATCAGCTTCCGTATTCCCAAATGCTCCTTACTGGCTGTCTATTCCCAAGAAAAGACTAGTCTCAAGCATACCCCAAGAACTAGACTATTGGAGTCCAGGCTGTGTTACTTCAGGGGAACACAAGTACCTTCATGACCCATTGTTTTGAGAAGATAAACACAATCCGGATAAAGCAGGATATTTGCAGGCAAGGGTCCCCCGCCACATGGAATCCCTCCTCTGCCCATTCAGGAAAGCTCCCATCACAACCCTCCTCTCCTGAGCCATGCCTTGGGTACGTACACCATAGGAACAGACCTTATGACAAGGGCTGGCACAAAGGCGTTACTGAAACCAGCAGCTTTCATAACTCCATCTCTTTGAAACTTTCCCGTGCCATCCATTCCCCGAGGAGAAAAAAAAAAGGAAACCTCAAATCCAAAAAAGATTATTGTAGAAGGGATTATTTTCCTAAAGCCAGTGGAATTTGAGCCACAGCGTTCCTTCCAATTCAGTTTCTGTAACAAGCAAAGTCAACCAATAGCAAAACTCTTTGTAAAAGGGGATATAAGCGCATTTCAGGAAGTATAACCCTCTCCCCAAAATATGTTACAAGTGACTGCCATGAATTACATTCATGGTATTGTATTTCCCATCTTTGTTCGTGACAAAATATTTACATTCTAGTCAATTTTTAAATGGGAGAGTCAACTAGTGACATTTTAGTCCTCACCTGTCACAGTGCTTCGAGCTTTAGCTCCATAAAGCATCTAATATAATACAGTGAGATCTCTCACTAATGGCTAGAGAATTCATGTGTATTCACTAGAGAATTCAAGAGTACACAGCTGTACTGCTTTAGAGAATAAGAAAAGACCTGTAATGCAAGAACTGCTTTATTTTAGTAATTATATAAGACAAATATTTTGTTTATAACCATTCCATAGATTATGCATATAAGATAATAATCTGATCTGTTAGGACCTGTGTTTATGTCACAGGGTGAATTAGATTTTCCCTACTCCTAACCCTTTTCCATGTCTTCTTATCCTGGAAAAGATGGAACTTGTTTTCAGCTGGGCATCAAGGCGGCTTTAGACAGCCATCTCCATTTTAATAGCTGGGTGAGGGTTGTAGTCTTCAATCAGGAAGTCCTCAGCCTTGAAATCATCAATGGTTTTAACTTCTCGAAGAATTTTGAGCTTAGGGAAAGGTCTTGGTTCTCGCTGAAGCTAAAAGTAAAGTTAAAAGGAAGAAGTCAGATTATCACTGCACACCTACAGAAAATAGCTCACCAGAATTTTCAGTGGCTCAATATGGGAAACCATCAAATAGGCACCATAGGGGGCATATATATAGCAAAAACTCAATCTCTACACAGCGGCAGTTAGACCTAGAGTTGAGAGGATCTGAATTTAAATACAATTTATTAAAACAATGCTTCTAGGGTCTGTATTTTAGAAATTATAGAATTACTGGGCAATTTGTTATGCTAGTACTAGTGAATGGACTAAATCTGATAAGCAGACTACCAATGTGTATATAGTTTTGATAGGAGCTACAGATGTAGCTAGGCTCAGAATTGGATTAAAAAACCATGCTGGTTGGGAAAAGGTGGGGCTGCTTTCCACGATGCCAAACTATTCATTATTGCAAGGACTGATGTCTTCACTGTGGCATTCCCCTATTGATGCAAATCATAGAATACTACATGTTTGGAAGAATAAACAAGTAACCCAGAGAGTGATATAAAGTCTCATGGTGGGCATTCATAGGCTTACTATTAGCACGCAATACTGGTATAAGAAAAATATCATTGGCATATAGATAGAGTACTGTGTCCCTGGAGTCAGACCTGAGTTCAAATCCAGTCTTAAACAAACACTTCCTAGCCGTGTGACCCTGGGCAAGTCATTTAACCCTCTTTGCCTTTATCCATTGGAAGGAAATGGTAAACCACTCTACTATCTTTGCTGTGAAAACCTCATGGACAAATTTAGAGTTGGGCATAACTGAACAACAACACTACACACACACTCAGAAAAATGTCTTACCTGGATTTTCAGTGGCTCAATATGATTCAAGTATATATGAGCATCTCCCAGAGTGTGTACAAAATCACCTGGCTAAAATACAGTGAGAAGAAACAAAGCAGTAGTGTTAGTTTAAACTCAGATCAATGAAAACACATTAGAGAGTACAAAATCCACTTTTCCCAGAACAATAATAAGTCTTAAACTTACCATGCTCGTTTTAATCAATTAATATTTACTGAGCAAGAACCATATTTGACTCCTAATTTTATGATCGACTTTTGTTAGTCCTCTATATTTTTTTTAAATCCTACTTTATATTACCTTATGGCCCTCTATATTTTTTTAAGTTTTGAGTTGCAAATCCCCTACATATGCAATTCACATTTCATTTGAAAGAGGAGGAAACTGAGGCAGATGAAAGTTAAGTGACATAAGTGCCTGAGACAGGATTTAAACCCTGGTCTTCCTGACTCTAATATAGGATTCTGTCCCCTCCCTTATACTGCCTCTCATCAAAAGCTTTCCTTGTATTTTTTCCATACAATTTTCCCCAATTTTATTGGAAGGTAAAGAATGAAACAATTCTCACTTCTTAAAAATTCTAACTGAAGAATGTGGTTCATTTGGTGCTTAACTTAAGAAGAGAGGGAGTTTTCTACCTTCAGGCCTGTGACATGAGCAATCATGTAGGTTAGCAGGGAGTAGCTGGCGATGTTGAACGGCACCCCAAGGCCCATATCTCCAGATCGCTGGTATAGCTGACAAGAAAGCTCATCATTCAATACATAGAACTGACAGAGAGCGTGGCATGGAGGCAATGCCATCAGAGGAAGATCTGAGACCAGGAATGTGAAAAAAGGGAGACAGTAAGAGGATATCAGCATAGCTCTAAAAATATGAAATATAACATGACACACCAGCTGCATACTATACTCCTCATCTGACCTGGCCTCAAAATGACCTGTCATGATGATAATAATAATAGCTGGCATTTATATAGTATTTTAAGATTTGCAAAGTGCAAAGTCAGGCAGACGCTTGCCCAGACTTCTAAGTGTCTGAGGCTGGAATTGAACTCTGGTCTTCCTGACTCCAAGTCTGGAACTCTATTCACCTAGATGTTGCAGTGACAGTAAGAGAAAGATATTTAGTTATTGTACTAACCCTAGTAGATCATAAAACTCTTTATGGCCAGGGACTTTTATTTTTCTCTTTGTACCCCTCGTGCCTGGCACATAATTTGTTGAGTTGATACTGGAGTGGTTTGCCATTTCCTCCTCCAGCTTATTTTATGGATGAGGAAACTGAGGCAAAGAGAGTTAAGTAACTTGCCTAGGGTCACATAGCCTGAAGTCTGATTTGAACTCAGGTCCTCCTGATATCAGGGCCAGCATTCTATATACTAGCTGCCCAGCAACAACTAAGGTTGATTCCTTTCAGCTCTAAATTCTACAATCTTCTGTATTCTCTGTCCTCATCCTGTTGTTTCTAAATATTTCTGAATTTTTTTTTCTTCTGTTAATGTGCCTTTCCAAAACAGAACTACTAAATGTTTTTGCACAGGTCACTGGTCAGTCAGAGGTTCAAAGAAAGCCCTTACTCTTTTAAACTTCTTAAATGCTTAAACATCCCAATTATATTTTTCCTCACATCATACTATTTTATTTTTTCCAATTACATGTAAAGATAGTTTTCAACATTCACTTTTATAAGATTTTGAGTTCCAAATATTTTTCTCCCTTCCTCCCTCCTATGGCAAGATGGCAAGCAATCTGATGTAGGTTATACATGTTCAAACATATTAAACATATTTCCACATTAGTCACGCCGTGAACGAATCAGAACAAAAGGGAAAAAACATGAGAAAGAAAGAAGCAAGCATGGATCTGCATTCAGACTCCATAGTTTTTCTCTGGATATGGACAGGTAGCATTCATTTTCCATCGTGACTCTTTTGGAATTGTCTTACATCATTGCAGAGAAAAGCTAAGTCTATCAAAGTTAGTCATCACGCAACGTGGATCTTACCAGACAGGGATCTCCTGGTTCTGCTCACTTCACTCCGCATCAGTTCGTGTAAGTCTTTGCAGGTTTTTCTGAAATCCGCCTGCTCATCATTTCTTACAGAACAATGAGCAGGCGGATTTCAGAAAAACCTGCAAAGATTCCGATGTGTTTGAAAAACCAGCAAGCACTGGTGGCCCGTTTACGATCATGATTTATTTTAGGGGATAGCTACCTTTAGGATTCCAAGCACACATAATGATCCTTCTGTCATCAGGATTGGTTTTGATGGTGTCAATGACTTTTTGCAGTTGATCCACTCCTTGTCCGGAATAATCTGAAAGGAAAAGAAATTCCAGAAATATTTATAAGCAACAGAACAAGACTCTTAGTAGAATCTTAGAGCTGCAATGAATAGACCTTAACCTTCCACTTAAAAATGCAGAAATCATGAAATAGCCTCTTCAGAGTGCTCGAAAGTTCTCTTTGTTGGAAAGTCCTTTCCTGGACCGAGGTCTTCTTGACTCTTAAGTCAAGATGCTTGATACATGGTGCTTGCCAACAGCTGCTGCTTGGCTCTGAATTTGTAAAAACTTTTTCCAAAAAAGGATAGTTAGAGATAAATTAAGGAAACTATGTCCTAAAAGACACAGAAGGCCAAGTAGATCAGGTGGTAGCAGTGGTTAGGATCAGACAGGTCAAATCCCAGGAATTTATGAGAGCCTCGGATGACAAGTGCTTATTGTTGGCAGAAATTATGTCAGTTTTTAATTTTTAAATTCAATTTTATTTTCAGTTCCAAATTCTCTCTGTGCCCTTCCCCAACCCATTGAGAAGGCAAGAAAAACAAAAGCCTACTATTACTGCTAGGTATAATCATACAAAACAAATTCTGTTGTATTTCTATATGTGTAAAGCACTTAGGTTATTATATATCTGTAAAGAGATAAACACAGGCAAATGGGGAGAGCTCCCTGGAAGACTAGCAAAGATGGGAAAGGTGGACCAAGGGAAGGTCAGTAATTTCAGCTCTACAAAGCATTTGCTGGTACTGGGAAATAGGACTTGGTGGCAGGTTCATGGAGTGGGGATGTGTGCAAAGCTTTGAAACAAAGGCAAGAACCATAAATAAATGAAGGTCCTGGAGCTTAAAAAGGTGTAGCTATTTGGAGTCTGTGGAATGGGCCTGTTAGTCTTGGGTTCAAATGCCACCTCTTGATGCTCAGTGTGATCCTAGGCAATTAATTTAACCTCCTCAGGCCTTAGTTTCCTCAAGGGGGTTAGATTACCTTTGAGGTCCCTTCCAACTCTAATCTAGGATCCCCTATAAAGAAACCCCCTGAGGAAGATGCTCTGGGGTTTAGTTTTGGAAGCCATTGCTTGCCTCCCAGGTATTTCTTCACACAACCCTGAACGGAGATATTTCTCCAGGAGACCTCACGTGGCTAGACACTGAGTGTATTTATTTTTTTGTTCCCCCAGTATACATTTCTTATTTCCCCACACTCTTGTCTGAAATAAAAGAGTACGCCTACACTCTTGGCAACACATGTGAAAACCTGACTCATGGCTCACATCTCCTCACCTGTGTTCATCTCTTTGTATTCTGCCCCAAAATGTCTCCACTGGAAGCCATACACAGGTCCCAAATCTCCTTCCTCTCTGGTAGGGAACCCCTGCTTGTCCAAAAAGTTTCGAGATCCATTGGCATCCCAGATTTTTACTCCTTTGGCAGAGAGCTCCTTAGCATTTGTGGAACCCTAGGAGAAGTAGGGAAAGAAGTTCGGTCATTCTACTCACCTCTCAGAAAACTCAAGGGCCTGGCAAGATGGTGTTGCCCATCCTTGGGAATGTGAAAGCATTTTGTGAAACTCTGTGAAAGCAGTGAGATACACTTCTATAACTCCAGCTTCCGAGAGAGACAGGACGGTGCAGTGGAACCACACTTAAGACATGTGCTTGATGCAGGTTCACTCATTGCATCACTTTGGACAAGTCACTTAATTTAAAGCTTCATTATCTGTAAAATGGGGATAATACGGATGAAACCTGCATTGCACTGTACCCACCCTCACAAGGCTGGTATAAGGATCAAATGAAATAATGACTCACATATTTAGAGAGTACTTTATAAGACCACCTTGCAAGGTAGGTCAAGGTGATACTATTATTCCCATTTTCCAGATAAGATAATGTGTACTGAGTGAAAAGTGCCACATAAGGGGAAACCAAAGAGAAGAAAAAAAATCAAATATCCATTTCTTGCCCCTCCTCCCTCAAACCTTCAGCTTAAAAAGATTAACCCTTCTCCCTTAAACTCAATTCTTCTTTTACCTCCTTGCCTTTTCTAAACTGGACTCAATCAGTTTTTCTAAGCACTATCACTTTCAATGCATTTTTCCTATCTTCCAAGTTCATAAAAGTTTCTTGTTTTGAAAGTTCCCATTTCTCTCATCTTTTCTTTCAAGCGATCCAAGGCTTATTAAGCATCTATTGTGTAACCAGTACTGCTAGGTCCTGGAAATTCAGTGATGAAAGATCATGGTCCCTGCTATAAAAGAAGTTACACAATCAGAATACAATTAAATGCATTTCAGAGATGAGAGTGGAAGATTCCAGCTGAGGGAAAGGAGAGGCTTTCTGAAGGCGGTGGACCTTAAAAAGAATTTCACCAGCTGTGGCTTCCAGGCCTGAGGAACAGCATGTGCAAATGACAGAGACTGGAGAACAAGATAAAGTGAGGGAATGGATAAATATTAACAATTTGGCTGGACTGTAGATTGTGTTCAGAGGAGCAGTACACATTAAATCAGAAAACTAGGTTGAGCCACATTCTGGAGGGCCTTACAGGCCAAGCAAAGATGTATTTTAATTGTTGGGCAGTAGGGAGCCATTGAAGATTTCTTAGCAAGGAAATGAGCAAATTTTTAGCAGCGATGTGAAGGAGGGTCTGGAGGAAAAGGGAGACCAGTCAGAAGGCTGTTTTAATAATGCAAACGAGAGTTAATGAGGGCTTAAATTAATGTGCTAGCAGTGGGAATGGAAAGGGCTAAATGTGAGAGATACTGCCAATGCAGAATCAGCTGGACTTGGGAATGGATTAGATGCAGGGAGAGAAAGGGAGGAGTCAGGTCACACAGTAAGTGATTTAAGTGTTATGTATCGGAGGCCGGATTTGAACTTAGGTCCTCCTGACTCCAGGGCCAATGCGCTATCCAGTGTGCCACCTAGCTGCCCCCAGAGAAGGCTTCTTAAAGCAGGTTTTGGCTGGGACTTGAAGGAAACCAAGGAAGCTGGGAGAGTGGAGATGAGGGAGAGAAATTCAGGCATGGGGGAAGAGCTACAGAATATGCCCAGAATCAAGATGTCCTATGTGAAAAACAGAAAGGAGGCTGGTGTCACTGCACAGGCCTTGAAACCATTTTGGAGAGGCATCTGGAATTATGCCCAAAGAGTTATTAAACTCCCTTTGGCACAGCAATACCACTGCTAGGTCTGTTTCCAAAGATGATTAGGGGAAAAGGAAAAAACCTATAAGTTCTAAAATATTTATAGCAGCTCTCTCTGTGGTGGCAAAGAACTGGAAATTGTAGGGATAACTGTTAATTGGGGAATGGCTGAATAAGTTGTGGTATATGATTGTGTTGGAATACTTCTGTGCTATAAGAAATGATGAGCTCAGTGATCTTAGAAAAAGACTTCCACAATATAATAGATAAGACTTGCACGAAATAATGAAGAATGAATGAGCAGAACCAAGAGAATGTTGTATACAGTCACAGCAGTATTGTTTTAAGAACAGCTTCTTAAAACCCAAGGCATTTTGACTACTATAAATATCCAAGTTAACTACAAGGGACATATGAAAGAAGATGCTTTCTGTGTTCAGAGAAAGAATAGAATAGAGAAGAATAAATAGATGTATACATATTTATGTCTAATGGTAGCTATGGGAGGGAGGGAAGAACTTACATTATTATATATTTCAAAGCAATAGCCAGTTGTACATAACAGATTTGTAGTTTCATGGGCAATCTTTATTCTATAAATTAAAAATTAAATAAATAAACAGGAAAAAAAGAAAAGAAACTGGGTATGTCATCAAAAGAAACATACTCAGGAAGAAAAACAGATTGGGGACAGACAGGGAAATGAGGAGTTCTGTTTTAGACTAGATGACTTTGAGATGTTTACACAATATCCAAGTGTTGTACCAGCAGGCAATTGGAAATATAGGAATGGAGCCTGGGGAGAGATTAAAACTACATTAGAGAAACATTTGCATGAAGGAGATAACCAAAGTCATCGTAATAGATGAAATTGCCAAGGCAGAGAAAGACTCTTGAGAACTGAGGACATTCAAAGTTAAGGGGGAGAAGTAAGAACCTTAAGATGCAGGAGGAGATAGATACAGGAGAGCAGTATCAATTTTCCCTCCCTCAGCTTCCGACTCTTCATGACCCCGGTTGAGGTCTTCTTGGCAAAGATACTGGAGTAGTTTGCCATTTCCTTAGGAAACTAAGGCAAACAGGGTTAAGTGACTTGCCCAGGGTCACACAGATAGTTAAGTGTCTGAGGCCTGGTCAGGTCTTCCCAACTCCAGGACTGGCGTATTCTATCCACTGCTCCACCTAGCTGCCCATGACTTTTGGCTTAGTGCTACTGATTTCAAGTCAATAAAGATTAGGAAATTGAATCTTTTTGATAATGGGCTTTTGGGTTAGTCTAATGGTTCAACATCTGGGAAGATATATTAGACCTTTCATAGAGCATCCATAGCCTCCAGGAGTGAGAATCTCCCAGCTTATGGGTAGAGGAGGATGGCCAGAAATGACAAACACTGAAAGGAGGAACATAAAGGCAGAGGTCAGAAGGGTTTTGGCACATAGCCAGTTATATCTGACTGTCTTCCCTTCCCTTCCCTGTGAGCCATTTTTAATTCAGTTCTGGTGAATAGTGATACTTTTTCACTAACAAGATTTTTTTTTCTTTTTTCTTTTAAAAAATAGATATTGACATCTTTCTTATATCACCTTCTTTCCCAGATATGTCTCTCCCTCCCTTTATCTGGGGAGCCAGCTCTTAGGGAAAAAAAAAACTAGCTCAGAAAAACTAACCAACAGTCTTCTAGTATATGTAATGTTCCACACCCATAGTCCCCCACCTCTGGGGCTTCCATTTTCTAAGCAGATAACTACGCTGGCTTCCTGCCTGTACCAGCAGTGAGGTAGAGTTTAACATCATGATGCTAGGGGAAACAAAAAAAGTAATAACACTGTTCTTTAGAGAAGTTAGATGAGGACTTCAGGCATCCTTACCTTAATAAACCACAGCAGTTCCTCCAGCACACCCTTCCAGAACACTCGCTTGGTTGTCAGCAAAGGAAACTCATCTTAAAAAAAAAAATCCACAAAGAATCACAGAAAATTGCATTAGAAAGTAAGGCTACCCTGAAAGCGCTGTTCTATGCCGCTACAAAAATTTGTAGCCGGGGAGTCGCTGGTGTCCAGGAGCACATAGCATCGATGTAGGTTGCTACATTAGTAAAAAAAACAAACTAAAAAACCATGGATTCAGTGCAACTAGCCTGTGTTACCACCTGCCACACACAGTAGAGGGTGTTCTGCTGAGAAAAGTTAGGATGCCAGCATGGAAACAAAAGGTGTTGTGGTGTATCACACAAGCTGCCTCTTGGCTCAAATGTTGTGCACCACCATGAAAATCCCCTCCAGGACAAGGTCCCCTGCATCTTGGTGGTTACCAGAGAAGACTCAGGACTGGGCCACAGCCCATTTATCCCACAAATGATAATTTACTCCGAGTCCAGCTAGGCCAAAAAGAAATTAGGTTAAAGGCAAATTAAAGTATTAAAAATTAAAAACCTAAATAACTCTGCTCAGGGGTACTCAGTGTCTTCAGATCATTTGCTTAGACAGAACAGAACCTGAACTATACTATGCACATGAAATGTCTGCTCTACTTTTTATAATCTCTGGAGGATGAGCATCATTTGCCTTTGGCAAGGGTTAGATAATTGTTATTTAAGTCAATGTCCTGAGCATAGTTGGAAGGAACTTTAGAAGCTTTATCTAATCAGCCCCCTTTTTTAAAATTAATTTGTTTTTTGCAAGGCAATTGGGGTCATCTCTCTGTGCCCAAGTGTCCACACCTGTAAAATAAAGGGGTTGAATCGGATGACATCTAAGATTATTTTCCTGCTCTAAATCTACCATCCTATAATTGGGTCCCAAGTCCAAAGTGATGGTATCTGTCAGTCTTTTCCCCAGTCTCTATGTGCTCACTGGATAGCCCTGGATTTGGTGTCCTTAAGATAATGGGTTCTAATTCCAATGCTGAAAAGTTTTAGTGGTGGCCTATTGAGCAAATCCAGGTAGCTGGGTGGGGAAGTAGAGTGCCCTCCCTGGAATCAGGAGGATCCGAGTTCAAATTCCACCTGTGACACTTAATACCAGTGTGACCCTGGGCAAGTCACTTAACCTCAGTTTGCCTTATCTACTGAAGATGCCAAATGGGGTTTCGAATAATCGACTCAACAACAACTGAGCAAGTCACGAAGAGGCCTATGGGCTTTAGTTTCTGAAAAACTGAGGGGAGTAGGAATAACAACTAAACGTTGTGAAATCGTAATGCCCAAGCTCGGTCCCAAAGAGGAGATCTCAGAAGAAGCCTATTGCACAGACGGGTGCGCACCACCAGACCTTTTCAATGCTGGGTAGGTTTTTTCTTCTTTATTCTGAGACATGGAAGGATGGATGATTTAGGGAATGGTAAGTGATTGAAAACACAAGATTTTAAATAAAAATAAATAAAAATGCATTTAAAAAAAGCCCAAGTGACCCTCATGGTTAATTTCCATTAATTACCGTGGCATTTAAAGCTGACAAGGGCTCGGCTCCCGGCTCCCCCCCCCCCCCCCCCCCCCCCCCCCCCCCCCCCCCCCCCCCCC